GGCGGAAAGCTAGTAATATATAGTTCTATTGTAGGTGTGTATGTCACTGAACTCCTAAACGTCTGTATCTATTTGAATGAGTTCTACATACATCTGTATGTCGCCCCAGATGGTTTAGATTCACTAATCACACGTCAGATAGCGCTGACTGTATGTAGGTTATTCATGAAAAGTCTTTAACATAGCTCACTATATGTATTGTTTTAACATACTATTTTTTTGAGTACAATTCTGATGTTCATGCGGATATAGTAAGCGGCAAAAACTAGTATGTATAATTAATCGATAAAGGTCATATCGTTATTTCGCGAATATTCTTACAGTATTTCAATTCGCATCAAACTTTATAATGACGCATAAATAATTATTATTACAGTTTTTGTTTCCTGATGTTATTGATATGAAAAAAAATACCACTTTGTTTTTTGTTATTATATTACGCGTTATATTATTTTTTTATGACAAAATCACTTTGTTACTTTTAAATTTACGCACGCAAAATAATTAATTATAACTCAATAATTTTCGTGATGGCCTAGAGGTTAAAGGCCCGCCTCTCATGCACGAGGGCGCTGGTTCGATCCTGGCAAGTACTAATTGATTTTTCCGAGTCATATGTACTTTATAAGAGTATTTAGACACCACTGATAGATGAAGGAAAACATGGACTTATAATATCAATTTCAAATGCAAATAAGTTAGAAATCTCCAACCCGTCTTGAGCATGCGTGGTGATTAATGCTCAAACCTTCTCCATGTGAGAAGAGGCTCAGCAGTGGGCTCTGATAGGCTGGTGATGAACTCAATATTTAAAACTGAAATTCTTATCAAGATTAATCATTCATCACTATCTTTGAAGTAATTATTTATTTGTGACAAATTTTCATTAAGTCCCATTTTAACAATTTCATTTTATTTCTCTCTATTTTAAATCTACATAAAGCTTATAAGGAAATTCCAAACAGATATAATTTGGGATTATGATGTGTTGTTAGGATTTTTTGTTTAAATTAAATCCTCGTTATCTGAGAGCTAGGTTATGCATAAATTCTTTTTGAATTTTTTACGTATCTATATAGTTAGAAGTACATTGGATTGCTTGTCTGTCATTCTATCCGTTTGAAGGTGGAAATAAAATATTTGGTAGTCACACTACTTTAGTGATAATATAGACACCTTTATCTTGATCACTACCAAATTATAACTACAAGAAAAAACACGCTGGCAAACTATTTAAATTTCAATTCAAATCTATGTAGTTTTTACGATTACGTGAATATTTATATCTTACATTCGTTGATACACAGTATTCGGTTTTAGGTAAAATCTCGTAATATAATCTTGAAAATTTATATTCAAAAAGTACAGAAATCCAGGATTGTGTAATGCATTTGCTAAAAAGATATCAATTACATATATATTTATTAAAAATTAATTTGATTATGATTATTATGTGGACAACACATTTATTATATAAGTAATAAATAGTGTAATGTATTTTGTTATATACTATGTCACATTTACAAAAGGTATTGAGAAACACATAGCTTCAAATTATATATATATATATATATATCACCGTGTGGTGCCGGCTTCACCGTGTGGTGCCGGCTTAGAATGTCACCACCCCATTTCCTCCCGTGGGTGTCGTAAGAGGCGACTAAGGGAATAACAACCGGATGACGGGCAGCAGCGTCATCCGAGTACATTTTAAATCCGACTGCGATCGCCAACCCGCCTGCCAAGCGTGGCGATTATGGCAAGAACCCCCCAACATGTACAACACGACCACAAACCGGCCCCTAGTCCCCGGCGGCTCCGCTATTCCTGGTCATCGTGGTAGCGACCAAGGTAACGGCGGGGCAAGGGGTGCTAAGAATCTCCGGCAGAGATCCGGCTACCACAAACAACGACGGATCGACCTGGCAACACTAAACACGCGTACACTGCGGACAGACGAGAAGATTGTCGAACTAGAGGAAGAATTGAGCAGGTTACGATGGGGTATCCTAGGATTATCTGAAGTCCGAAGACAGGGGGAGGGCTCGATAATCCTTAAATCCGGTAACTTACTCTATTTCCGGGAAGGCGACCTTCAGTCCCAGGGTGGTGTCGGGTTTCTCGTCCACAAGTCCCTTGTCCACAATGTAGTGAAGATCGAGAGTGTGTCGACCAGGGTGGCGCTCCTGATACTCAGAATAACCAAACGGTATTCGTTGAAGGTCATTCAGGTGTACGCCCCGACCTCGGCACACTCAGACGATGAGGTGGAAATTATGTATGATGACATCTCCAGAGCCCTACATAACTCCAGAACCCATTACAGCGTGGTCATGGGTGACTTCAATGCCAAGCTAGGAAAACGAAGCGGTGAAGAGTCACGACTGGGACATTTTGGGTTTGGAAGTCGGAATCATCGAGGCCACATGCTGGCTGGCTTCATGGAGAAGGAGGAACTCTTTATGATGAACTCCTTCTTCAAAAAGCCCGAACAGCGAAAGTGGACCTGGATCAGCCCCGACGGGGTAACCAAAAATGAGATAGACTTCATCATGTCGACAAAAAAGCACATATTCAATGATGTCTCTGTGATCAACTCGCTTAAGTGCGGCAGCGATCACCGCATGGTAAGAGGCACATTGAATCTTAATATCGTGCTCGAGAGATCTCGCTTGATGAAGCCTACTCTCCGGCCTATACCCATCCAAATCCAAAACTGCGAAAGTTTCCAGCTTGAACTCCAAAATCGCTTCGAATGCCTAAATGGCGATGTGGACGAGTACAATGACGGGTTTGTAGAAGCTGTCCGTACGGTGGGGTCCAAGTACTTTAAGACCCGCCGTACCAATGCCACCAGAAAGCTCTCAGACTATACTCTCGAGCTCATGGAGGAAAGACGTGAGATGGTTTTCCGTTCGTCAAGTGATGCTTGTCGATACCGGCAGCCCAGCAAGCGGATCTCAAAGTCTCTTAAGCGCGATCTGCGTCGGTATAATACCGAACATATCAAAGATGCTATAGAGCGGAACAGAGACTTCAAAGCTTTTGCAAGAGATCTGACTGCTGGACATAGCCGGTTAAACAAGCTGAAGACTGACGACGGCAGAATCATATCGTCGAGGCCTGAGCTTTTGAGGGAAGTCGAGACTTTCTATAGACGGCTATACACGTACACAAGAGAGCCCGCTTCCAATCTCGCTGACGACCCAAGAGCGAGATTAACCCGACATTACTCCGAAGATATCCCGGACGTCAGCTTGCACGAGATTCGAATGGCTCTCAAACAGCTTAAAAACAACAGGGCACCGGGTGATGATGGAATAACGGCCGAGCTACTGAAGGCGGGTGGAGAACCGATCCTTAGGGCCCTTCAGAAATTGTTTAATTCCGTCATACTCGAAGGACAAACGCCACAAGCGTGGCACAGAAGTGTGGTGGTATTGTTTTTCAAAAAGGGTGATAACACCCTGCTGAAAAACTACAGACCCATCTCACTTCTGAGTCATGTCTACAAGCTGTTTTCGAGAGTCCTAACGAATCGCCTTGCACGCAGGTTAGACGACTTCCAGCCTCCCGAACAAGCCGGTTTCCGAAAAGGCTTTAGTGTAGTAGACCACATACATACGCTGCGGCAGGTTATACAGAAGACCGAGGAGTATAATCTACCTCTTTGCTTGGCGTTTGTGGACTATGAAAAAGCCTTTGATTCGATCGAGACCTGGGCTGTACTGCAGTCTCTCCAGCGGTGCCAAGTAGACTACCGGTATATTGAAGCGCTGAAGGGTTTGTACGAAAACGCCACCATGTCAGTCCGATTACAGGATCAGACCTCGAAACCAATACCTCTGCAGCGTGGTGTCAGACAAGGGGATGTTATCTCCCCAAAACTGTTCACCGCTGCATTGGAGGACGTCTTCAAGGTTCTGGACTGGAAAGGACTTGGCATCAACATAAATGGCGAGTACTTATCACACCTTCGGTTTGCTGATGATATCGTAGTCATGGCTGAGACCGTGAAGGACCTGAGTACAATGCTCGATGATCTCAATAGAGCCTCCGAACGAGTTGGTCTTAAGATAAACATGGAGAAGACGAAAATCATGTCTAATGTCCATGTTGTACCGACTCCTATTAAGATCGGAGGCTCTACGCTCGAAGTTGTTGACAGCTACGTATACCTGGGACAAACGGTCCAGTTAGGTAAGTCCAACTTCGAGAAAGAGGTCAATCGTCGAATCCAACTCGGCTGGGCTGCGTTCGGGAAGCTACGTAGAATCTTCTCGTCCAGAATACCGCAGTGTCTCAAGACAAAAGTCTTCGACCAGTGTGTGTTGCCAGTGCTAACATACGGCACTGAGACGTGGCCGCTCACGATGGGCCTTATTAGAAAGCTCAAGGTCACTCAAAGGGCAATGGAGAGGGCTATGCTCGGAGTTTCACTGCGTGATCAAATCAGGAATGAGGAGATCCGCAGAAGAACGGGAGTCACCGACATAGCCCGAAGAATTGCAGTACTTAAGTGGCAGTGGGCAGGGCACATCGCTCGCAGAACCGATGCCCGATGGGGCCAACGGGTTCTCGAGTGGCAACCACGAGCCGGAAGACGCAGTGTGGGTAGGCCCCCAACAAGGTGGTCCGACGACCTGGTGAAGGTCGCGGGAATCCGCTGGATGCGGGTGGCACAAGACCGGTCGTCGTGGAGATCCTTGGGGGAGGCCTATGTCCTGCAGTGGACGTCTTCTGGCTGATGATGATGATGATGATGATATATATATATATATATATATATATATATATATATATATATATATATATATATATATATATATATATATATATATATATATATACCTATACTTAACAAAATAAATTATTAATTGCGGATTACCCTTAATTTTAATCAATAAGATGATTTTTCTTTCTGAAAAATGTATACCTGCCCTAAATTTTGTTTATAATGATGTTTTAGCTGTACTAAAATTATATTATTTTCCCAATAGGTCTCTTCATCTTATTCATCATCGGATTATTGTCTCTCATCACCGGTTTCCTGATATGTTTCCTTCATCCATACGACGCGATTTTCAGCTGGGTAAGTGTTATATAAATATTTTTACACCATTGTTAAATTTTAATAGGAATTTCTTAATATTTCTATAGTAATCCAGTACTAAATATAGCCTATGTTACTCAGTGATAATGCAGCTTTCTAATGAAAAAAGAATTATTAAAATCTGTCCATTTTTTTGAGTTTATTCCATACTAGCTTTCCGCCAGCAGCTTCGCCCGCGTGGAGTTCGGTTATATCGCGGTTCCAAGAGAATCTTTCAAAAGTCTGGCATAAAACTATCCTATGTTCTTTCTCAAGGTCAACTCTATCTCTGTATCAAATTTCATTAAAATCAGTTCAGTGGTTTAAGCGTGAAAGCGTAACAGACAGACAAACAGACAGAGTTACTTTCGCATTTATAATATTAATATAAGGATATCTAAATAAAAAATATTTCCACTTTAAAAAAAATTGTATAGATAACTAGTCTTAATATATATAGAAAAAAATCATTATTATACATTGAGTTATTTTAAAATCTTGTTTTGTATGTGCTAAAGTTTTTTAATTTTATATCGAATTTTATTTTTATTAACTCCTTCCTAGTTTTTAATTGATCAGAGAGGTCCTATAAATATATTGTACTGTCCTTGTCTCAACCGGATTGATAAAAAAATATCTCGAATTCACTGACAGTTAAATAAAATGACTAATTATTTTGTTTTTACTTATACATAACCATGTACATATGTAAATTATTGCAATTTGTATATATTCCTCAAATATATGTACATATTATTTTTTCAATATATATGTCGATATATCGAAAGTGTATACATAATTTTTCATATACAGATTTTTTAATTACGTTAAGCGAATAATACAGTGAAATTTATTATAAAACTAGTTTTCGCCAGCGACTTCGTCCGCTTTATTTTCGGACATGCTTGTATATCTGACCAGTCGAATTCTATTCTGACATACAGGACATAAATAACCAAATATTATAATTTTTTCGATCGAACAGAATTAAATATCCTATGTCCTTTCTATGTTCTAATCTATCTCTCCACCAATTTTCAACGATATCCCTACAGTTGTTCTTGAGGTATAAATAGTGTAATTAACACAAATTTCTTTTATATATAGATTATATTGTCAAAAAGATTTTTCCTTCCAGAAAGTCGTTCTGTCAGATGGTGGGGAGATTTTCGAAATGTGGCGTAAACCACAGGTGGAATTATACGCAAAAATATACTTATTCAACATAACAAACTCAGAAGCGTATATGTCGGGTGTTGATACCAAGTTGAAAGTCCAAGAGGTCGGCCCATACGTTTATAGGTGAGTCGAAATTGCACACCCATCACCACACCGACTACACCCACTAACGCTTAACATGTTCACATACCAATTAAACGCGTTTAAATCTAAATATTGATAATTATGTTGAATTAAAACTCTTTGAGGTCGTAGGATAAATAATTACATAAGGAAGTTGATGAGGTATTCACGTTTAGGGATCCGTAGGATACTGTTAAAAACCATTAAGAAATTCAAAATCAACTTTGATAGAAAATTTTGTAGTTCATTTAAATCGTCTTACGGCACTGTAACTGTTAACTGACAAACATACAGTTTAATAGTTAATCCATAAAAAACAATGACACACTCAGTTTTAATTACTACGACATAAATTATTACGTTTCAGACTTATTCAGTAATATATAAATTCAAAATATATTTTAATCAAAAGTAAAAGTAATAAAATATAAAACAAAACATATAAGAATAAGAATCTTCTGTAAAATAATAAAAAAAAATTTGAAAAAATATAATTTTGAAAGTGTGTCCTTGCTTTCAAAACTAGTTCGCTTTAAAACATTATATATATATATATATATATATATATATATATATATATATATATATATATATATCTACGGAACCATGTTTCTGTGTTACCGTTGTGACAGACGTACATACATAAAACAAGATCGATTTCCATGACCATTAAAGGTCGTAAACACGACCTCTAAGTTACATATGCTAATATAGGCATAGAATTATTTTCATCAAACACATTATATATATTATATAAATTTGAGATTGTCTGTATGTTCGTAATTATTGAAATAATGAAAACTAATAGAATATCTTCACTTCTATCTATATTAATTAAAGACTTTTCCTTAAAAATTCAAAAATAACTTAAATAAAAAGCATTAAATTATATTTTTTCTATGCAAGCTCATATCACTTAAAAGAGCAACCAATTATTATTTCAATTAATATGTACCTAATTAATGAATCTAATTCGACATTGAAGATTTGTAATGACTTCCAAAATTAGGATTATTAGAATGTTACGACGAAAATAATCTAGACGACCTTGATTTGAGAGTTTTTTAATATATTCAAAATCAATTATTATATATAGTAATGAGTTTAATTTGTTATCATATTAAATTGAACCTTCCAACATCCTCATATGCATGCAAACAATCAAAACCTTTACATATACAAATAAACTTTATATTAAAATATACTGATATTTTAATACAGGGAGATCTTCGAGCATTCTGATGTAGTGTTTAATGATAATGGTACATTAAGCACTATACCTAAACATCCCCTAGTGTGGCAGCCTGAACTATCTGAAGGAAATAGCGAGGATGACGTATTATATCTACCGCATATAGCATTATTGGTGAGTACACATACACACACACACACACACACACACACACACACACACACACACAACGTCATATAAAATACATATTATCTATGTATAATTAACGGTCTTGATGGCCTAGTGGTTAAAGGCTCTCGTGCACGAGGGCGCGGGTTCGATCCTAGCAAGTACCAATGTGATTGTTCCGAGTCATATGTACTTTAAGTATTTAGACATCACTGATTAATGAAGGAAAACATCGTGAGGAAACTAGGACTTATATAAAATTATAAGTTTGGAATCGCCAACCCGTCTTGAGTAAGCGTGGTGATAATGCTCAAACCTTCTCCATGTGAGAATAGCAAAGGCTTGCTCAGCAGTGGGCTCTGATAGGCTGATGATGACTAACTAACTAATTTTCTTTTAAGTTTCTTAAAAAAAATTCTTTCCATTCCATATATACATGTATATTATGTTTCCATAATATAATTGTAATGTTAAAACATTATGTTTTTTTACAATAAGTTGTTCATATCTTGTTAAATTTAACCGTTGTACGATGCCAATGAACCCTGGGCAAAAAGTTAATTGACTTTCAAAAATTTGATGTGTGGAGAATTGCATGTCCTAATTCATAATATACAGTTATTATTACTAATCTCAACTAACTTCATACCGTCGGTATGAAAGTAATACTTTGAAAGTATCGTGTACTATTTCTATATTGATGTCTCTAAAAATCTCTAAAAATCTACTATTTGTTACTTAAATTCTTGAGTTAGTTTTTGTGTATTACATCTTTCTGCTATTAAAAATTTATTTAAATATATAAAAAATCATCAAAATTTCCTTATATATAAAGAAATAATAGAAAAATATATAAAGAAATAATAGGAAAAACAACAACAAGAAATAAATAGATAAAAAAATCAAGAATAAAACTTGGTTTAAAATTAATTTAAATAAGATATATAATTATTAGCTATAGTTATTATGTAGCCTTCGTTGCTAAGTTTATCTTAAATTATATGTTATATATAGGAAAAACATAGTATATAACCTCGACGATATATATGTAAATATATATCTTAGACCGAGAACTCCTCCGAAACGGCTTAACCGATTTTGATAAAATTTCGTGAGCATATTGACTAGGTATGAGAATCGGCCAACATCTATTTTTTCATACCCCTAAGTCATAAGGGTTGTGCCTGTAATTTTTTCTTCGTAAGAAATTTTTTGTTTATATTTTCAAAATAACGTAACATTAAAAAATACATACAACCCAAAAATTAATTTTTTTATCACCAATTCCTATTTTTTACATGACAAAACAAGGTTTGCCGGGTCAGCTAGTATATATATAATTAGTTTAAAATTTTTGCTGAGCATTCGCTTATGAACTTTAGATTTAAACACTAATTAATAGTTTTTATACATATATATTTTTTTGAAAACGTCAAACGTTTGGTATGTAGTGTACGAACTCATGGTAATGCCACCCTTAATGATTCACACGTCAGAATGTGTTATGAAGCAGGTTTTGAACATCCCAACCGACTTGAAAAACAACTGGTATTGTGTGTTACATAAACATAATTAATTCTATAAAAGGTTCGGGTGATCAACACTAATAACTTCCGCGTTGTAATACTAGTTTTATCATAAAAAATATTTCGATTTTATATATATAATAAATTTAAATTAATTCCCACCACTCGTTTTTATAGTTGCTAAGAAAATGTATTTAAATTAAATATAGGGCAATAGGAAATTATTTAACTGACCAAAAGAATAATTAAAATGAGGTAAATATTTATTGGAATGGTAGTGTACGTCATTGATAAAGATGAGAGTTAAAAAATAGGAAAACTACGAAATTACTTAGACGTGACCTATAAGGTAATTTTTGTAGGGAATTTAGTTTGTTTGTGGCTCTTTAATACAAAATAAACTGAAACTAGCTTTCCGCCCGCAGCTTCGCCCGCGTGATGTTCGGTTATATCGCGTTTCCAAGAGAACCTTCCATAAGTCTGGGATAAAAACTACCCTATGTTCTTTCTCAAGGTCAACTCTATGTCTGTACCGAATTTCATTAAAATCAATTCAGTGGTTTAGGCGTGAAAGCGTAACAGACAGACAGACAGAGTTACTTTCGCATTTATAATATTAGTAGGGATATATATGGTAGAGCCTAGCTGTGGTTAAGTTACTACAGCTCGAACATGGTCTGGCTCGACCGTAAGTACCACCCTCTCACAGAAGATCGGCGTGAAGTAGTCTTTAATGGCTGCGTTTCAACCGATGAGTGAGAGAGACGGTTGCCTTTTTCCCTTTTCCCATTCTTTCCACCTATTTCTTTATTCCCTTTCCTCCTTATTCCTCAAGAACCAATTGCCCATCAAGTAGGCCGTCTGCTCGTTAACCACCTTTCTCATCTATATATATAAAAATGGATTGCTGTTCTTTAGTCTCGCTAAAACTCGAGAACAGCTGAACGGATTTATCTTATCTTAGTCTTGAAATGTTCGTGGAACTTCAGGGAAGGTATAAAAGCTGAAAAAAATTGATTCCATACTGGGAAAACTATAAAAACAGCCCTTTTCTATTTCCCATACAAATGTTTTTTTTGACATTAGATTTGACAACTAACTAACATGTCAATCATTCTGTCGCACTTCAAAACACGGAGATTTATGGCTTTAATAGGTAAACTCCAAAAATATAAATAAAATAACGTAATAGATATTTCTTGATTATAGGGCGATACGAAGTTCGCCAGGTCTTCTAGTATAAAATAAACTTACTGCCCCGGCGTTGTTCGTTAAATATTATATACGCCATACCTGTATGTATAAACAGAATTTAACTTAAAAACCATTTTTTTATAAAAAAATGCTTGGTTTTTTTTATACATTTCTCATGACATTTAAATTTATGGTTTACATTGTTTTTATTTATAAACATTTCATTTGTATAAGTTTTTTATAATATTATAAAAAAATCGATAGTGGCATCGCTCTCTCAAAAAGTTGTTTTTTTATTAATAGCTATGTAAAGTGCCAAAATAGGAATATCTTTATACTGAAAATTAATAATATATACATATATTATACATAATTTATATTTAATAAAATCAAGTCGCCTTATTAAAATTTAGAAATATAATATCAAATAAATATTAATAAAATTATTGATATTGATTTAAAATATTTATTATATATATATTAAATGCCGAAACAGTATAAGTAGGAATCGAATCTTTAAATTATTTTATGTCATTCTAACCACTTACAAAACTGAACTATTTTGTCATATTTTTTAATCATCATCAGCCTATCAGAGCCCACTGCTGAGCCTCTTCTCACATGGAGAAGGTTTGAGCATTAATCGCCACGCTTGCTTAAGACGGGTTGGTGATTTCAAACTTATATCAAAAGTCCATGTTTCCTCACGATGTTTTCCTTCATCGTCTGTCCTATAAACAAAAAGTTTCTTCGTTATTTTGCTGATAAATTATTTTCTTAATATATAAGCTTATCATGAATCTCTTAACCTACAATAAAGTTCAAATTTGTTTGCCAAACATCGGTATTTCACCTTCGTTTTACTTTCGATAAACACTTGTAATTTAACTTTGTAATGTAAGATTAACTTGTATACATAAAACTTTATATATATGGAAAATAAATAAATATGTTTTTTCTTATTTTCAATATAAATATATACTATCTATACTCTTTTTACTATTTCAATCAAGTATAATTTGTTTATTTTTATATCTAGTTTTCCCTAAATAAAGTAAAAAACGGAATATTATTATTGAAAAATTAAATGATTGGTCCTTGGATATTATGAATTGTTAGAGAGATTTTAGAAAACCAGAATAATAGTCCAAAATTATTAAAAAATACTACATTTATTAATGCGAAAAATGACTTAGTCCTATCAAACTGTATGCTTGTTTTCGCTCTAACTGTCAGTATTGCGTCAGAGGTGCAACTAGTACTAAGATTATTAAATAAACTCACGTCAGCTAGCGAATTTACTTACGGTATATATACATACATACTTCTTCTACTTCTACCTGGCAATTTCCCAGCTTTAGCCAGGGTCTGCCTTACATGTTGTTAATAGTTTTGGCTAATTATTTTTACGACCGGCCGCCTGCCTGACATCAACCCTCTTTGAGAATACATTAATCAGTGATGTCTAAATATTCTTAGAAAGTACATATGACTAGGAAAAATCACATTGGTACATGCCAGGGCCAGGATCGAACCCGCGCTCTCGTGCATGAGAGGCGGCCCTTTTAACCACTAGGCCACCACTGACATACATATACACATAAAATATTTCAAAATTTCACATACCTTAACACAACCAAACCATATTATTAGTTATATAATATATATATTTATGTCCATATAATTATAGATATTTTAATAAAGATGAAAAGTGTATTTTTTAATAATATATAATGAATATTACATAACCTTACACACAGTACTATGAACGACACATAAAACAATGTGTTTTATCACTAAATGTCAAATATTGCATATAAATTGAAGTTCAAATAATTAATAATTTATTAGTATTTTAAAGAAAAATTACTAAACTAAATATCACTATTGTAAATTGTTTTTAAATCTACTATTAAATTAAATATTTTCGTATAACTACGAGTTTTTTATTATTTCAAACTACATACTCCCGAAGTTTCGTTTACTTTGCAACCGTGATCACGAGATGTGAATGATAATTATAAAACGATAAAAAACTCGTACATAGTTATCCAAATTTATTATTAATTTAAATAAATATTTAACATAGACCTAGATCTTATTATAATCATGTAAAAATATATTTTGTTACAGTCAATCGGTAATGTTGTATCTGAGCAGAGTTATTGGTCCCAATTGGGATTGAATCAACTTATAAGTGTCACTAATAGCCAGCCGATAGCAAAAATGACGGCCAAAGAATTCATGATGGGGTATGAATCACAACTCATGACTTTAGGGAACACATTCCTACCTGGATGGATCTATTTCGATAAACTCGGTCTCATCGATAGGGTAAGTTCTGGATTTTAAAACAAATTTCACCTATTTACAGCTTTTACCTAAAGGTAAAATCACCTGAGCATTCGAATGTAATGCTTATAAAAATATTTTTATTACCTAGTCTAATTTTACTATATTACTTGTTCATATAATTTAACTAAAATAATCCAAATATTTACTGATTAGTCTTAATTGTAATTTCTAATAGATGTACGATTTCAACGGCGACTATGAGACTATATTTACTGGCGAAAACGATGAAACTCTCAGTGGTTTGATAGATACGTATCGAGGATCGACCGATCTGCCGCATTGGAACGGCAAACATTGTTCCAATGTGCAATACGCGTCCGATGGCACTAAATTTAGGGGTTCATTAACCTTGAACGACTCGAGCTTATTCTATAGGAAGAGTTTGTGCCGAGCCGCGCCTTTGGTAAGATATATCGAATACAAATAAAATTTAACCCAATATATGTATATATTATTTTATCTATCAAAGACTCACATAAAAACTATTAGATCAAAAGACAAATTATATCATAACACTATTAACATAAGTACGAGATTCTTTTAACTCGCACATATTCTGATAGCAAATGGATTTAATACGATATATTCCATTTAAATTCCACAAAATGACTAACATCTGGATTAATTCCAGGTCCCAGTGGAAGAAGGTATCAAAAACGGCTTCAGAGCATTCAAATACACATTCCCAGAACATATGCTTGATAACGGAAAAGTTCACGAAGAAAACAAATGCTTCTGTAGACTAGGTAAATAAGAATTACGAGTATATATATATAGTATCGAAAAATATAAAACCACAATCATGAACAAAATAATATAACTAGAAAAATATCTACTAGACATAGCATTATATAGGCTGTAACAAAGTAATACTGACATATACATACATATTTTATTAAAACTTATTAAAGAAATCTAATTTAGGCATAACATGAATTTAAAATCATAACTACGAATATTTATATACTATTTACAAGTTTTACCTGAACGTACACTCGGGTAAAGGTAATAAATCTCAGTATTTGAAATCCTTTACAGGTAAATGTCTTCCGGAAGGTCTGATAGATGTAACTGATTGTTACTACGGCTTCCCAATAGCTCTGTCATACCCTCACTTCTATAAGGGAGATGAAATTTTGTTTAGCAAAGTGGAAGGACTCAAACCCGACGAAGAAAAGCATAATACTGAGTAAGTAATAAATAAATATATTATTTCAAGTACATAGTATGTGTTCGTTAAAAGTCAGTAGTGACCTAGTGGTTAAAAGGCCCGCCTCTCATGCACGAGGGCGCGGGTACGATCCTGGCAAGTACCATTGTGATTTTTCCGAGTCATATGTACTTTATAAGACAATTAGCCTGAAGTAAAAACAATTAGCCAAAACTATTCACAACAAGTAAGACAGACCCTGGCTTAAGCTGGTAAATTGCCAGGTAGAAGAAAGTATGTGTTTTAGTTTATACATATAATTTCACATTTTAAGTTTGTTAAAAATATATAAATACAAATTCAAATGATCAAATGAAATCGAAACTCAAATTATTTCGAAGTAAGTCACTGTGAAATGTTTAATCTAAATAATAAATAGATTTAATATTTCCATAATCTCAAGCAGTTAGTATGAGCATTACAAATATAAATACAAATTATAAATTTTAATTACACATTACATTTACTTTCAACGGACGATTTATATTTTATATGTTGCAAACTAAGATTTAAGATGTAATATTAGTTTATAATAGGTACTTAAATAATTTTTTTGAGATTTATTCCTTACTTTTACTTCTAAATATAGACAATTGACTGTATATATATATGTATGATTGTAATCATTCCAGGTTTTGGATCCAACCAGATTCTGGTCTACCACTGGACATCAGTTCCAAATTCCAGATCAATATGGCGCTTGGAGATCTATCAATGATAACTAACGCTGGGAAATTCTCTAACATGTACCTACCGATGCTGTGGTTTGATATCGTAAGTAAAAAAATTAATTAAACTATAAGAATGTACTCAAATTACAAATAAAACAAAAGTGGCATCAAAAAACCGATGTTGATAATTCAGATATCGTATATTCTAGAGACAAATGTAATATATTATTTGTATTTTAGTATGACACTAAATAATATAATAAACAATTATTTAATTACCAACCATTCAATTCAATCTCATCAATTTTCCTGCTAATTTTATAAGTTGTGACTTTTATGGCTAATAAAGTTTTATATCGCTATAAAATCCATAACAAATATATAAATTATATGTCCGTCTAAATTTCTGTTATTTCTCGTACAAATATTACTTGAAATTATACCATATTAATGATAAATAGCGGACAAAACCGCGACTATAAACTATTGTAATATCATCTAAATAAATAAGTACTTGCTATTTATTTCCACCAATAAAGGTGCATTTATACCCCATTGTTGTTAAACCTTATAATTCATTTTACTACCAATAATTCATTATCTATTATATTATATATTATGTATATAATCTTTTATTTATTTGTTCACAGAGAATGTACACACTGCCGCCGTCTATGGAACAGAAGTTTAAAATATATTTAAACATACTACCGTTCATAGAAAAATCATTGATGTATTTAAGCTTTATATCCGGCGTGACACTAATAATGGCGACATCATACATGATGTTGAAATTAATACAGAAAACATATAGCAATGGAAAAAATACTAAATTTAATTGGATTAATGCTAATAATAAGGATATTTATTCCCCATGCGAGATACCTATGAGTGATGGGTCATGTGACACACATAGAACAGATATGTTTAAACAGCTAGGTCATAGGTTAAGTGACAAAGTTCAAGGGTCAGTCAACAATGTGATAGATAGCTTCCAAAACAGAAAGGGTTCTTTGATAGATAATGATGAATCAAGTGATAACGCATACAAAAGTGACTCAACATACAACGGGGATTCCACCAAGTATCATGAGATAAGACAGAGTGACAGTGATGATGATTATTACAAGTACTTAGAGGTTGTAGATGATGAGTTCGGTGATGATGATGATAAAAAAGACACATACATACATATAAACTGATTTTATAATATTATTATGGATTATAGAATTCTTGCCTATATTGATGAATGTGTGATTTGTGAGTTTTTTATACGTTTTACCTGTGGTTTCATAACTGTGAGAATTTACCTGTCGTTTATAATGTTTAGAGCGTGTCTGTTACCTTTTGATTTATTAATGTTACCTGTTATATAAACAATTTACCTATGTAACAGATAATATTGTATATTTATATAGGTTTTAATTTATTGTGCAATTTTATATGAATCTTTTTTTATATAATTAATTTTAATATACAAAACCGTCAGCTACCTGTAGTTAATAAGATATAATGTAAGTTGTAAATATTAATTAAGTACAATAAGAAAAATGCTCATGATACATTAAAAAAATAATTCTTAGTATTAAAGAATTGTTTTTTATGGTGCAATGTATGTTCATATTGTTTGGTTTTATAAAACAATATTGAACTCTGGTTATTGGTTAACTACTTATAATAAATACATTAAAAAACTATATGTTCTTTTCATTTATATATTAATTTAAATAAATTAAGACAGTTTATTTAATTGATGATCTGTATGTACTCTTGGATGAAATCTCTTTTCAAAATCCACCAGATCAAACATCCGTAGAAAATGATCTTCAACAGTTTATCCAAAAGAACCATTCTGGGAAAAAAGAGGTTAATAATTAGTATTCTTCTAGAATATCTTTCCAGTATTAAAAAAAATCAATAAATAGTTAATATTTGATTTAAATTATTGTCTTCTTCTATTATATTAGCATTTATTTTAACAAATAATAATATCAGTGTCAATTATTAAATAAACGCATTTTTTATAACTAAATTAATCCGCTATGATTCCCAAAAAATGTTAAAACTATGATAAAAAGTTGCTAAAAGACTAACCTTTTGTATTGCGCCTGTGCTTTAGGTAAACTATCATCCGCCTCTTTCAAAAGATACTTCCTGCCTCCCAAACAGCATTGCTTATAGAATTCGTATTTATCAATATTTTCTATTTCATAATAGAAATCTTTTAAATCAGCCTCCTTTATCTTAGATCTCAGTGTGATGAGGTTTTTGTTGCTGAATGTCCACTGTTTAGTCAGATAGTAATGCAACGCCATATTCGCTGTGTAAATACGACGCTGAACTTTGACTAGCCTGAAATTTATATTAAAATTTAATATATAGCCTGAAAATTACGGTATCAGGAACTTATTTTAAATGTACCAGGATAAAAATAGCTCGTTTATTAATATGATTATTTTTCTTGCTTTAATAATAAATAAATAAGTATAGGAATATAGGTGGTTTGAATGGAAAAAATCAATTTAGTTCGTTAGTGAGCTCGTGATATTTGTTGACTTTGATGGTATGGTCTTTGGGGATGTTGGTTTTCCAAGGAACCGTAGCTGTAATCTCTATCATCATATATAGATATCTTGAGAGTGTATATAAATACTTACATGGGTTTTCTTCCAATAATCCACAATATCATGTCAAGAAGTAGCGCTGGCAACATGTGGAATAAAAGCACCTGTGAAAAATAGTCACTTCAAACAACCAATATAATTATCGGATACATACAAGAGTTTTCAAAAGACGTAAAACAAGTTTAGTGTAAATTTAAAACTCTCATCTCAGGAATTTTCTATTTTAATCATAAAATTAACTAAATATTAATCAGAAACATTAATATCAGCAAGATCGTGAACTTACTAGATACATATTATTCCAGTTAAAACTTCACCTCTTTTACCTAACTTACCTTACCTAATTGGGTTTACCTAACTTACCTTATAGTAATGTACGTAATTAAGTTTACCTAAGTTACTTTATAAATGGACTTGATTAAGTTTACTCTTACTTCGAGATTGTATTTGAATTTGGATGTAGTTATAGAAAGTCCGTAAGCCCACAGTGCGTTCTTTAAAGGTGAAATTTGTGCCATCTGAGAACCCACAGATACAAGGTCTTGCATCGTCATGTGATTTAATTTGCCAACACAATCATTATATATAGGTATGTCATCTGTAGGTTCTAACCTGAAATCGTAAATAATAAAGATAAATAAGTTTATATATATAATAAAGCCCAAGAATTAATTCATTGGTAGGTTTCAAGGTATTAATTCTAGAAATTATATATTTTTAAGTCATGTCATCAGCCTATCAGAGCCCACTGTTGAGCTGCGTCTTCTCTCTTGGAGAAGATTAGAGCATTAATCACCACGCTTGCTCGAGACGGATTGGTGATTTCAAACTTATTATTGTGAAATTATAAGTCCAGGTTTCCTCACGATGTTTTCCTTCACCGTCTGTCAGTGGTGTCTAAATACTCTTATAAAGTAGATATGACTCGGAAAAATAACATTGGTACTTGCCAGGATCGAACCCGCGCCCTCGTGCATGAGAGGCGGGCCTTTTAATCAATAGGCCACCACGACCTTTTATTACGATATTAATGTACATTATTAAGACGAAATTTGTATTACTATCGATCTAACATCATTCATTTCGGTAGAGCTTTATAAATTAAACACCTAAATTTATAAAAATTTTGCAAATATTATATACCAAGTCGCAGGTATAAAATAGATAAGATGAAGTTAATGTATTTATTTTAATATATAATTAAATAAAAAAAACTAGTTAGTAAAATAGTTAATGCAAACATAATTTTAGACTTGATCAATTCAAAAGATTATTATTTGAAGTTTAGTTAAGAATAATTACATATATAAGAAATTTTTTGAACTTAAGATCGACTGTACATGTTTGACTGAAAATAAATCAAGTCATAGGATACTTTTCAATTCGTTCGACCAAAAAAATAATATTTGCTAATAGATTCCAAAATCTGTTTATTTACTACCTCTAAATCGAAAGAGTTCGCCTGGTATATACATTTCTAATTATGAAACTAACGCGGACAAAGTCGCGGACAGAAGCTAGTATGTAAGTAAGAAATAAATGAATCCTTACTTCTTAGTTCCTCTAATCCATGAAGCCACAATGCAACCTTTTATAGCCACATCAACGGGTATGTAATCTGATATAATTTCTGGTCTTGACAATATCGTACGAAGTATACCTGGGTAACAATACGTATAAAATAAACATATATACAATATGTTCCCGAATAAATATCAAGCATTTAAAACATTCATATAAGATATATTTTAATATCTATGATATTATACATATATTTTTTATGTTGAATAGTCAGTTTTATAAAATTATTTAATGCTTTTAAATAAGCCACTGAGTTTAAATAATCTTAGTTTTACGATATTTGACTTTATTGAAGATTTCATTCAAAAATAAAATCCGAAGCAGGTAATTGGTATAATTCATATATATATTACATTAAAAATATTTGTATATTTTTTTTTTAAAGAAATAATATTTTATCGTGCTTCTATCAGACTTTAAATAAAACCAAAAATGACTTCAAAATTTCATAAGCACATTTTAAGTTATATTGCCAGGTTTTGGAAAAAAATTTGAACAGAATCTCAAGATATACTATTTTCAATATCAATCAATGTCTAAAAGATAACTTAATAAATGGTCGAACAAATAGCCAGCATATGTTCGAGCTATAGTATAGTATATAGTAACTTGATCACAACTAGGCTCTACCATATATATCCCTACTAATATTATAAATGCGAAAGTAACTCTGTCTGTCTGTTTGTTACGCTTTCACGCCTAAACCACTGAACTGATTTTAATGAAATTTGGTACAGACATAGAGTTGACCTTGAGAAAGAACATAGGATAGTTTTTATCACAGACTTTTGAAAGGTTCTCTTGGAAACGCGATATAACCTAACTCCACGCGGGCAAAGCTGCGGGCGGAAAGCTAGTATGTATATGTAGTATGTATATGTATGTAGATGAAGTATTCTAATACCTTTGCCAGATGCTGCCATAATACCTGCGGGACCATTGAAGTTATCAATCCAGCCGGGAATGGGTTCCAAATGACTGGATATTACTGAAACAACATGACAATTTATATAAAAATTCTTCTTCTACCTGGCAATTTCCCGGCTATAGCCAGGGTCTGCCTTACATGTTGTGAATAGTTTTGGCTAATTGTTTTTACGATCCGCCTGCCTGACATCAACCCTTTTGGGAATGCATTAATCAGTGATGTCTAAATACTCTTAGAAAGTACATATGACTCCGAAAAATCACATTGGTACTTGCCAGGATCGAACCCCCGCCCTCATGCATGAGAGGCGGTCCTTTTAACCACTACGCCACCACTGACTCATTACATATATATTTATAATTAACTCTCCGTTAACGTAGCTGGAATACCGAAATAAAATATAAGCTGATATTTATTCTGGCATTCCGTGGAAATCTGGCATTAATTCTGGCACTCTGGTATATTGGCATTCATTTAGTAGGGCGTCACACTCATTTTATACAAAAGTTTGTCACGAATATATATATGTAAATATTGTTGTCATATCTTTTTTAATATATTTCTTATGTTTCTCAAGTTTAGAATATCTCTTAATTTTGCAATAAAAATGAAATTTCTAAGTAAATGTTGGTTATATAATATATAGGATTTAATATTACCAGATTAAAAAACAAATATTTACCAATAGACGGCCTGACTATGACTATAGGCATTTTTCCTTTCTGTTCGTACACCACGTGTTCTGCTAGTTGTTTTGTGAAAACATAAGTGTTCGGTAGTTCGCCTATAAACCTGTAATTATTCATAGTATTGATATTTTTTACTAAGCCTACTTGAAGACATCATTTCTTATGGACATATGCAATGTTAAGTTGTTTTGATTGTGGGAGAGAGAGGAAATTAAAATATTATAAAAAAGAGGAAAATCTGTCTCAATTTTTTTATGTTAAAGGGAGTAGACGTACCTGATTGAGGTAGTACCTTCGGGGAATAAAGGTAAAAGGTGGTAAAGGGAGGGAAAAGGAAAAGGGCAACCGTCTCTCTCACTCATCGGACGAAAAGCATTAAAGACTGCTTCACGCCGATCTTCTGTGAGAGGGAGGTACTTCCAATCGAGTTGTATGACCACAGCTAGGCTCTACCTTAAAATCATTTGTATCTTAATTAACTTACTTCGGAGTCAAAACCTTTAATGTATGGTCGTCAGTTGTTTCGCAAATTTCCAAAGTCTCTCTCCAATCACCAAGCGCTGGATATAATATCTCTTCAATAGGTTCCCTGTTCGTGTTTGAATACGACGTAGATACATGCACGAAACTCTGCCAAAAAAGTATTTAATATAGACTTAAACACTATTTCATTACATTCATTCTCAAACACAAAAAGTATATTAAGTAAGTAAGTAAGTAAGTATAAAAGTATTCAGATATAATTTTAAACACTATAGTTAGTAATAAATGAAAATAAAATTATTATACGGAATCGTAATATTATTAATATTAACAATATTGCATTATAGTAATATAATTTTATAGTCTGGCAGACACTGGCTAAAGCTGGGAAATTGCCAGGTAGAAGAAGTCTAAAAATATAGTACTAATATATAAAATTATATATAGATATATATGTTTTAAATTTCTGTATTGAATCTAAAAAATAAGTCATGCTACATATTACATACGTTAAAATTATCTAATTACACTTTACAGAATAAATTTACATTATGAAATAATTAATTAAAACTGATTATATATAAGTTCAAAATATTAATCAAATTATAAACTACAAAAAATCAAATTATATTATAAGTAAGAAGCAGTAAAATATTAATATTTAATATTTTTCATTAGCATTTATATCATTTTTATTATAATATATAACTTTTAATATACTCACTTCTAGATTTTTCATATCTTTCGCCAGATCAACAATTTGTTTCGTACCAAAAAGATTTAATTTTACAGCTACTTTTAAAGGATCATCAAACCTGAAAATAATATTTCAACCCATATATAAATTGATTGAATATAACACCTCTGGGATATCTTTATATAAATAATTCTTCTGTGAGTGTGTATGTCACTGAACTTCTCTCAAACGACTGGACCGATTTTGATGAAATTTTTTGTGTGTGTTCAAGGGGATCTGGGCTGGTTTAGATTCACAATTTTTTCCGCTGGACAATTTTTTTTTAATTAATTTTTAATTTATCGATACGAAGTTCGCCGGGTCTTCTAGTATATATATATAATTGATAATGTCACATTTAAAGGTAAATACGCCAGTGTGTTACTTCCCTAATTTGATTACATATATGTAATACAAACGCAAAAGCGTTTTTCAACATTAATCTTAAGAGATGAAACCTCTCATCATTCAATGTATTCATATGCGTGTGTCGGGTCCATCGTTGTAGTGAGAGGAGCTTCAACAGTGACTAGGACTTGTGACCCAGGTGTAGGTTTAATATATATAGAGAGACGAAACCTCTCATCATTCAATGTATTCATATGCGTGTGTCGGGTCCATCGTTGTAGTGAGAGGAGCTTCAACAGTGACTGTGACTTGTGACCCAGGTGTAGGTTTAATATATATAGAGAGACGAAACCTCTCATCATTCAATGTATTCATATGCGTGTGTCGGGTCCATCGTTGTAGTGAGAGGAGCTTCAACAGTGACTGGGACTTGTGACCCAGGTGTAGGTTTAATATATATAGAGAGACGAAACCTCTCATCATTCAATGTATTCATATGCGTGTGTCGGGTCCATCGTTGTAGTGAGAGGAGCTTCAACAGTGACTGGGACTTGTGACCCAGGTGTATAAATAATAACACTAACATAATTATAACAAATAGTTAAAAAAAGACTGTTATGTTATCAAAATAATACATATATTGGAGAACTAGTAACGTGATATATGATGAATAAGTTACCTTACACTTGCAGCAACGTGAAATAAAATTTGTGTCTGATTTAAAAGCATTGCCCGATCATCTTCAGACAGACCTGAAAACATTTATTATTATGTAAATAAAATTAATTGACATTATAAAATATGTTAGAAATTCCGTTTTTCGTATGTTAATACATATATTAAAATTGAAAAAAACTAAAACAAAATTGATTTATATGTATAAATATTTACGACGGAATAGAAATTTTTGAATTATTTTAAAGTAAATGTGTAAATTAACATACAAAATTTTTTTTGGAACAATAGAGTATTCAATGCATATTTCCTTCAACAATAAATTGTCTAAATGTTTTTAAAATTATTTAAACAAATAACTAATTAATTATCAAAACAAAATAGTTATCTATTTACCTAGGCCGATGTCGCTAACATCTCCAGCTATAAAGAAAACCTTCGATTGGAAAACTCCTGGGCGCTCCTTGCGCAAACGATCGAAACACTGTAATAATTAAACATACGGTTATTATTTGTACGGTTATCATTTATAGTTTCTTCTTCTACCTGGCAATTTCCCCGCTATAGCCAGGGTCTGCCTTACATGTTGTGAATAGTTTTGGCTATCTGTTTTTACGATTCGCCTGCCTGACATCAACCCTCTTTGGGAATGCATTAATCAGTGATGTCTAAATAATCTTAAAGTACATATGACTCGGAAAAATCACATTGGTACTTGCCAGGATCGAACCCGCGCCCTCGTGCATGAGAGGCGTGCCTTTTAACCACTAGGCCACCACTGACTTATTGATTATTTAATTATATTAAGGTAACAATATTTGTTACTTACAGGTGAGCTATATATTGCTGATAAACGGTCATGTGGCTGCACTCCTTTCTTTGGACGCAGTAAGAGGTAGATTTTTTCCAAGTCAGGACACGAATAGAGGAGTTTTTCTATCAAGGCTTTTCCCATGAAACCTAAACATATTTAAATAATTTTAATAGATTTCCCATACATATACATTCGTTGTAGAGACAAGGAAACCTATTTTCATTTTTATGTTTTAATTAGATATCTATCTTAGTCTAACATTAGTTTAGTCCGTAAACTATTTAAATGTTATTTTCTTTTGTCTTTATGTTTAAAAACCTTATTGAATGCGTTGCATGTTAATGTATGTATGTTTATGAATATTTAACTATCATTTGTTAAATAGTATAACAATTAAAATTTAAATTATAGACCATTCTAGTCAACGACCTTTTGTACTACCATATGTATGCATATATGTGGAACAAAAGAAATTTTTTAATTTCTCGTAATAAAAAAATGTGTGCTTGCGTTTTTCTTGGCCATACATATTTCTCTTCTTTCTATATATATACTTAAGTCACACTAAGTATATAACATTTTTCCATCACAACATTCTCAGTTTCAATGTAGAAGTTTTTATATTGCACTTAAATCTGATACTTATTCCTTGCTAATTTACTCAAAACACAAAATTTTCCCACCTATCCATCTGGTTAACCCAACATTTTTAATATTTATTACACAAAAGACCCTATTGCGCATTTTTTGTCCTTCTATTTCACTACCAACTAATTCAAAAGAAGAAATTATATGGCAATATTATTTAGTAATTAATTATAATTATTTTCGTTAACTTATTTCAACAAAGCAAATTCTAAATATATTTATAAACCGTGCATTCATTGCTGTGCCTTGTAACTAGTCAATTATTTTTTAGTTTTATGTATTTTTATTTGTTATGAAATACCTTTTTTTACTAACATTACCGTAATAATACCGTAATCAAATATGTAACATTATTTTTGATAACAAAATAACTGATTATAAATATTAATTTTAATAAGTTTTATTATAACATTTGTTTTATCTAAAGTACTTAACTCACCTGAACCGCCTGTCATAAAAATAGTTTTTCCTCTATAATATTCTGGTATCGTCTGCACATTATCCAGATCTCTTTCTTCCAAAAAAGTCATGCTTGCTAATGAATTTTGTACACAAAATTCAAACTGAAATAAACATAAATTTAAATTTAAAGAAAAAAAACCTAAAACGATTATTATTTTCTTAATAAACAACACAAAAATAAATAAATAAATAATTATGAAAACAAAAGAAAACTTACCTCAAACACGAGGTACTTATCGTGGTATAAATTTTGTAATGAACGAAAGAGAAATTATTTATTCCAAAAATGACCTCTAAAATGACCTTAACGGTAAAATTTGTTCCCTGTTCATTATTTACGTAAGTGACACCAAACAATCAAGAAGTCATACAGACCAGAATTATTTGATTGAATATTAAACAGAAAATTGATTAACGCGTACAAATTAATTCAAATACACCGATTTCGTTGTGAAACAAGTTAGTCATTTTATTACGCATATAATATTTTAAAATATACTAGAATTTTTTTATATATAATTTCAGATATACAAAAAATTTCTATAAAAATAGATTTATAATCATTATATGTATATAATAAAGAAACAGTTTAGTGTGATTATTTTATCCCAAACGAAGCCACGGTATACTATTAGTATGTATTATTTTAATATTTTGTTTCGGAAGTTTTGAATGGCAGTTGAAACGAATGTACACTGAATTGCCAAGGTGTGATCTTTGAACTTTGTATGCATTGAGGAAACATTATCAAAGTTCAGAAATGTACGGATTGAGATTTATATAAAATATCATTAAAATACCAAAACTAATATTTTTCGGATATAAGTACTACGCGAAATTATTTTTAATAAAAACTACATACTCTCGACGTTTCGGTTACTTTACAGCAACCGTGATCATTAAGACGAGACGCAAAATATTAGTTTCATTTAAATGCCTCGCGAAAATCTCAGATCTCAAAACACAATACATTTTGTGGTTTTTAATATCGAATAATAATTTATCTACTACACAAAGAAAACGGGTTATGAAAGGTAAAACAGAATTAGGTAGTTAATGTATTAAATTGAATGCATCAAATATACTAATATGTCATTATAAAAACCATTATAATTTACTGAATTTGTAATAAAATTGTATATTTTTGAGATAAAATTATATTAATTTTTAGGCTTTATTTAATTTTTGTTTAAAAACGTCACTGTATTCATACTTATGCTTAAATATCTATTATACAGAAACTATATACATATAGTATTTAAGCATTAAGATGGGTTTAATTATTTTAATCACAAAAAAGGACATTTTTACCTCTTTCTTTATAAGGCTGAAAATTAGGAACTGAGTTATGATACGCGTTTGAAATTTCATTATATACAACAACAAAAACACCAAACTGAATGTATATACTGAAGATACTTATTATTATTATTATATATATTTATTTATAAAATATATATAGTGTTAGTTCCAAAGTCATGTCATGTCAACTATCGTAGGACTTGGTTTGTGGGTTCAAACCTCAAATCCTTAATTCTAATGTCAATTGATTTTCCTTATTTTTATTAAATGTTTTGTTTAAATTTACTGGTCTCCAAATATAAGTACTCTGTTGCATTATATAATGCATATACAGGGTGACAGGTGAATTACTATCGATACTTGAGGACGTGATATTTGACGATCATATATGACGAAATAAAAATTAATATAACATAAATATTAATAAACTTCTAAGTAAAGTTAACCAAAAGTTATGTAATTAATTACTCATTGTGTGAACACCCTACAGATTAGGTATACATACACACACACACACACACACTTGGAGCACTTGGAACGTGTCCACACTATTTATTTATACGGAAATTTGGTCAAAAATTAAGTACCTATTTTTTTTTATATAATTCGAATGAGAATCATGTACCGAGTATTCTCCTTAAATATTGATAGTAATTCACCAGTCACCCTGTATAATGTAAAGTAACTTTTAATATATGGCAGTACTACTTCGAAGGCAGCACTAGTAGGTCATAAGTCCCAGTCACTATTGAAGATATTTGTATTAAAATATTTTATCTGAATGAAAGCAGTTACTTTGGTTGTATCGCAATTAAAACAAACAAAAAACTCTTCTTGTTTTATTTTAAGTGTACAAAATTTTGTCTCTTGTAAAAATATATAAAATTACAATTAAAATATACATACCTATGTATATACATAATAAAAAACATGTGAGTCATATAATTTATTACATTTTCATTATTAAAGAAAAAAATAAAATTAATTATAAAAATTAATCAACCAATAAAAGCGGTGTAGAAGAATTTCATGACATCCTGGAAGTAACTGGTGTTGTAAATGTACCAGAATACAAAAATCTTGAACATTAGCATCACAGATTTATGTAGCAGCTCCATTCTGAAAGATAAAATTAAAATAATTAAACATAGACGAGATGAAGTAGCTTCTACTACAAATATATACCAATTAATTCATAACTCTTAAAATTGCTCAAATTGTTGCTTATGCATAACGCAGATCTATATTCTATGTCTATAAAAGAAAGTCGTGTTAGTTACACTATTTATAATTCAAGAACGGCTGTACGGATATAGATGAAATTAGTGGAGAGATAGATTAGAACAAGGAGACGGACATTAAATACTTTTCCGTCCGTACGTTTGAAAAAGACAAATAATAAAAAATCTGCTTATTCTAAGCCTTTAAAACAGTAATTCGAATTCGCGACAAAAACTAGTATTCTTTAAAACAATACATAGCCTTAAATATATACATATATTTATACCGTTTCTTATCTTCTATATATATAAAAATGGATTGCTGTTCCTTAGTCTCGCTAAAACTCGAGAACAGCTGAACGGATTTATCTTATCTTAGTCTTGAAATATTTGTCCAGGTTCAGGGAAGGTTTAAAAGGTGAGAAAAATTTATTCATTTCCGGGAAAACCCTAAAAACAGCCCTTTTCTATTTCCCATACAAATGTTTTCTTTGACATTAGATTTGACAACTAACTAATATGTCAATCATTCTGTTCGATTAAAACAGGAAAAACCTGATTATTTATGGCCTCTAGGACGGAATAGAGTTCGCCCGGTCAGCTATACATATATTACTAATGATGAAATTAACGCGGACGAAGTCGCGGGCAAAAACTAGTTTTAAATATTTTTATATTTTACGTAAAAACTTCTGTCCAAAAACTTTAATTTTTATTCACCTTCTATAATGTATTTTTGCTTTCGGTAAATCTTCAAGTTTCTCATTCAATATGTATAATTTTCCACCGTAGCACGAATTCGTGAAGTATTCATGTATATCAATAGTTTCCATTTCGTAGTAGAAATCTTTTATATCCTCTTCCTTAATTTTAGACCGTAGTGTTACCATGTTCACGTTTTTAAATGTCCATTGTTGGGTCACGTAGTATTCTAAGGCTATGTTAGCTACGTAAATACGCCTCTGAACCTTCGTCAACCTGTGATAAGCAAAATAATATTAAATAAGTCAATATTGAATAAATAGTATTACAATTTCTCCTAATATTAAGGTATCTTCTTCTTGGCAATTTCCAAGCTTTAGCCAGGGTCTGCCTTACATGTTGTGAATAGTTTTGGCTAATTGTTTTTACGATCCGCCTGCTTGACATCAACCCTCTTTGGGAATGCATTAATCAGTGATGTCTAAATACTCTTAGATAGTACATATGACTCGGAACAATCACATTGGTACTTGCCAGGATCGAACCCGCGTCCTCATGCATGAGAGGCGGGCCGTTTAACCACTAGGCCACCACTAACTAATTCTCTAATACATATGTGTATCATTATTTAAATATTTCTCAATAATAAATTATGCTACTTACATAGGTTTCTTCCCAAGTAGTTTCAAAATCCCATCAACTAATAGAGCCGGTAGTAAGTGTAATAGCAACACCTACAAAATAAAAAAGCATTTATCTTGTTATTCAATATGTAATAATATATTTTGAATGTATAGTTATTAGGTACGGAGAGAAAGAGAGAGAAATAGAGAGAGAGCTCCCTAACTTAAAACTTAGAAAAACATTGTTCATAATATTTGACAAAAATTTAATTTAAAATGATTGTCATAGATTAATTTTAAATAATCTTTTGATGTCTACACTACACATGTTTGTATTTTTAACATCTCAAGAACTTTACGAATTAAAAACTATACAGGGTGACTGGTGAATTACTATCAATATTTAAGGAGCATACTCGGTACATGATTCTCATTCGAATTATGTAAAAAAAATAGGTACTTAATTTTTGACCAAATTTCCGTATAAATAAATAAAGTGTGTACACGTTCCAAGTGTGGATTTACTAAAAATAAATTGAATCATTTCCTACAACATTAGATATATTTTTCGATAGTAAAAAAAACAGTGATGAAAAATTACTTTATAACTAAAGCTGACATAAATAACAAAAATTTTATACTAAAATAACTGAATTTAAATTTTTTATATTATATTCTTTTTATAGTCTAACAGCAAGTGACAAAATCAGATAAGGAAATTAATGAAAATGTACCTTAATGTAATTAATTATCCTTGATGAAGTCAAACCACCACATGGGTGCCATATTAATGAATCCAAAGGTATCTTTTTGCTTATTTCCACTCCTAGTTCAACTATCTCACCCATAGTCAACGCTTTTATTTCACTTGAAGAACAATTATATACATGTACATCGTCTGTTGGTTCTAATCTGGTGGAAAAATATATATTATAACAATTTAAATACATATATATATTTGATTTTTTAATATATTTCATAAACGACTAACCTTTTGGTACCTCTAGCCCACGCGGCAGCTATAAATGTTTTTATAGCTATATCTACTGGCATATAGTCTGATATAAGATTAGGATCTGTGTACATTGTATGAAGAATACCTGGAAAATATAAAATATATAATGAGTCAGTGGTGGCCTAGTGGTTAAAGGCCGAATCTCATGCACGAGGTCGCGGGTTCAATCCTGGCAAATATCTGTGTGATTGTTCCGAGTCATATGTACTTTATGAGAGTATTTTGACATCGCTGATTAATGCATTCCCAAAGAGGGTTGATGTCAGGCAGGCGGTAGACGTGAAAACCTGGCTAGAGCTGGGAAATTGCCAGGTAGAAGAAGATATAATGGGTCCCTTAAGCCTACACCTGGGTCACAAGTCACAGTCACTGTTGAAGCTCCTCTCACTACAACGATGGACCCGACACACGCATATGAATATATTGAATGATGAGAGGTTTCATCTCATATATATGTTTATTCTGTTTATATTATAGGAGTTAAGATTATAAACTCAAATAAAATAAAATACTATTACAAATAAGTAAGAAGAATTGATCTTTGTCTACTTGTGTTTATGATTTTCACAAAAAATATAAATATTTAATATATTAAAAAATAAATGAACATCGCCGGGGGATCGTCGTTGTATGTATAAAATATATAACGAGTGACGCCGCTGACTCCGCGGAACGAACACCAAGCGTGTGAACCAGAAGATTCCTGATACACACAAGCTATGGAATGGTATTGCTATCATAACATCGGGGCAATCATGTAGTCTTAGGTGTAGGTTATAAGTTTTAATAATATATAATTTATATTATAATATACATATAAGTAAATTTCATAAACCCTACACAATAAGATCAATATGTAAAAAATATAACACCTATTTTTATATACGATCTATAAAACAAATGAATAAATTATAATTATATTTCATACATTGTATGTACATATATGTCCCTAATAATATTACAGTTATGACTGTCTGTCTATCTGCTACCTTTTCATGCTTAAATCATTGAACCGATTTTGATGAATTATTGTATAAAGATAGATGAAACCATGAATGCAATTCGTATTCAGTAGCCCTAATTATCATTATATTAGAGCCCACTGCTGTAAGGCCTCTTCTCACATGAGAAGGTTAGAGCATTAATCACCACGCTCGCTCAAGACGGGTTGGTGATTTCAAATATATAATTTGATATAAGTCCATGTTTCCTCACGATGTTTTTCTTCATCAGTCAGTGGTGTCTAAATACTCTTATAAAGTACTTATGACTCGTAACAATCACCATGGTACTTGCCAGGGTCGAACCCGCGGCCTCATGCATGAGAGGCGGGTATTACCACTAAGCCACCACGACTATTAGTGATTTTACTAGCAGAGAATAACTGAGATGTCCACGCGGAGACGCGGGCAATAACTAGTATATATATTTAAAGACTGAAGTAATAATTACAAACCTTTGCCACTCGCTATCAAAATAGCAACAGGGCCGTTTAGATTCTCAACCCAACCGACTAACGGCTCTTTAACGCTTGATATCACTGAAAAAATAGAAAATATATAAGAAAAAACTTAAAAAACTGAGAAAACATATGATTAAGAAGAATTAGATTGAAGAAGAATATAATTAGAAGAATATTTAATTCGATTATCTTTAGTCTGAAAATATTTAGTTAAATTTTAATTAGAAATTCCTTTCTTTTGGATAATATTTAATATCTTTTCTTCATGTATATGAATCGATATTTTCCTCTTGAGGACTTGAAAGTATTTTTTGAGTTATAAATTATATTATTACCTATAGAAGGTCTCATTATGACAACTGGTAGCTTTCCTTTCTGTTCGTTGACCACATGTTCCGCTAATTGTTTTGTAAACACATAAGTATTTGGCAATTTATCCAAATATCTGAAAAATATTAAATATTATCAATCACTAAAGTATATGTTTATAATTTAAAATAAATAAAATTTCATTAAATGGGCATAAAACTATGTATTGGATACTTTATCTATTAAAATAATGTAATTTAAAAGATTTTGTCTCTTCGTCTGGACCAATTTTGATGGAAATTCAGCTGTTTTTGAAATTGAGGATTTTCTCTATTTTCAACTAAATTTTACACGCTATAATAATATATAGACAAAACCGCGGGCAACAGCTAGTTAATAAATAAATTATTGTCTTGATTTATAATCGTTTGTTTGCAACGATAATTTTATTTGAAAATCTCTTTTACTTATATTTTACTTAATGGAAAAAATAAAGACAAACGGCCAATTAATATTCATTGAAAGAATCATTAAGCATCCTAACTTTCTTTACAAGCTCAGTTAATAAATTGTTTTGTTTAGTCAAAGAAAAATGATTTCCTTTGATTCCCAATAATAACATAAGATCATAGATATATCTTTTATAAAAAATATGTATAATAATTCAAAATTGAGAGATTCATTTTAATAAAATACATTTTACTGATAAAAATCCTTGAATAAACTCTATATATATAATTCATTCAACTTGTATGAAAGAAAACTATTGAATATAATAAATAGTTTTAAATATAAGTCTTAAAGTTTCTTCGATTACTAAATGATTAAAATATTTCAAAATATCAAACATAAAAGATAAAAATCATTGCTCTGCCAGATTTTGATAGCAATATTTTGTAGTATATTTAGAAGTTTTAGAAAAATATTGTTATTTATATCTTACTTGGGAGTCAGAACATTTAATGTGTGTTCGTCTACGTTTTCAATAACTTCTAAAGTGTCCCTCCAATTTCCAGATGCTGGATATATTATTTCATCGATGCATTGTCGATTTGTGTTAGCATAAGAAGTAGAAACGTGGACGAAAGCCTGGAAATTTTCATTTATTTCATTTAAAACTAAATAAAATTTACATTTCATTTATTCTTTGTTCAATTGCTAGAATATTTTATATTAATTTGGTCAATTAAGGATCAATGTTTTCGATTTAATACGAATTATTCTATCATATTATATATCTATACAACCAAAATATATTAAATAGAAATTGTTTTTTCATGAATATGAAAAATACAAGGCTACTTACTTCTAAATTTCTTATTTCTTTAGCTAATTCAATAGCCTCTCTGGTACCGCGAAGATTCAGTCTCGCCGCTACTTTTAGAGAATCATTGAATCTGAAATAACACATAATATAACTAATATTATAAATGCGAAAGTAACTCTGTCTGTCTGTTTGTTACGCTTTCACGCCTAAACCACTGAACTGATTTTAATGAAATTCGGTGCAGACATAAAGTTGACCTTGAGAAAGAACATAGGATAGTCTTTATCCCAGACTTTTGAAAGGTTCTCTTGGAAACGTGATATAACCGAACTCCACGAGAGCGAAGCTGCGGGCGGAAAGCTAGTATATAAATAAATACTTTAAAATTAGTTAAAATTTGAGTAATCGTGATTTTTATCATTTAAAATTAATAGATATTACAAATCTCTTTTATATATATTTATTTTATAATGAAAATAATTATATTATTAAGAATGAGTAGATTTTTACCTGACACTTGCAGCGACGTGGAAAACGATTTGTACTCTATTGATAAGCAATGTTCTGTCTTCATCAGAAATACCTTGAAATAATTATTATATACAATATACAATTTATATATGTATTATAAAACGATATTTCGTATGATTTAAATTAGAAAGTTTTACGTATAAATTAATATTGTTATAGCAATAAACTGCGCTGTGAATTTAAAAAACAAAGTATTCCAACATACATATATGTATATAAAAACAAATTTTACATACAGCTAGACAGACAATTAATTATTCTTAAGAATTTAAAATTTTACGTGTCGAAAATTTTAAAATTCGTTTACCATACTAGTAAAATTACAATTGTTAATAGTGTAGGTCAAACTTCAATTTCCTACATTATTAGAATTAATTGTATTTAATATATTCCTGAGAATACAAAGTTTATTTAAAAATTTTGTATAAATTAATTACCTAAACCGAGCTCGCCTACGTCACCGGCAATAAAGAAGACTTTCTTTTCGAAAATATCTGGTTTTTCATTTCTTAGACGATCGAAACACTGAAATAAATTATAAATATACGTTTTAATAGAGTAAAATAAATTTTAGAAACTCTTAAATCATTTATATATTGAGATTTCAATAATTTCGGTACTTTTTCAGCAACCGTGATCACGGGTAGACGAAATGTGATATAATTAAGACATACATTTCGTCGAAATTATTCTTAGTATAATCTAAATAATATTAGTTTCGTTTAACATGCAAAAGTTAGAACAAAAGTGTCAAAATTTTTAATTTGTGGAGTCAGCAGCTATTAATAAAAATTTTGACTTAAAAATGATAGATGCCAATGGGAAGCAAAATTATTAAAATCATTTGGTTTTCATTAAAGTATTACATTTTTTTATATAGTTTTTTTGGTGTAAATTATTACAGTTAATATTTAGGAGATTTTTTACAAAAATACAAATCAGATCATTAATTGAAGCAATTAACTTAGGTTCGTTCGTGTAATAACAATATGAACTTACTCGTGACAAATATAAATTGTTAAGTCTATCTTCAGCTTTTATTCCTTTACTGCTTCTTAATAACAAGTATATTCTATCCAAATCGGGGCATGAATACAGAAGTTTCTCCACTAAAACTTTGCCCATGAAACCTGTAAAAAATATCAAGAATATATAAAACAGTATATACTGCAAACATTCTAAATTTAATAAAAGTATACCAAAAGTTTAAATCTCTGAGTAGATTAATTTCAAAGTTAACAATTTTATTAAATTTTTTTGGAAAATTCATTATATTCGTATTTAAATTAATACAAGAGAAGCGAGTTACATTTCATTAAAATTATAACATTTTTACGTAAAAGGAAATAAACAGTACCTGTATTCATGCATGGAATTTTTTATGTATCATAATTAGCATTGATATGTATGTAATTTTGTTAATATATATGTATCTAGTCGGAAAATTCAGAATTGGGTTAATAATTTTATAGTGAGAAAGACTAAAATAGACTAAGCTTTACCCGATCCTCCGGTAATGAATATTGTTTTGTTCTTATAATAATCAGCTATGCTTGGTACATCACTGAAATCACGATCCAAAAAACCCATATTTGTCCACTGAAACAAAAAATATATTAAACACTATTGTTACAAAATCTAGACTAATAAAAATAACTACAAATTGTCAACATTACAAAAAATATGTAAATTACGTCAGACTAGTAAAACGAATCTTTAATTCATTGTTTTGATAAATAATGTAAATAATAATAATTAATTCAAATATATTCTTAAAGTTAATCGTATATTATTAGAGTATAAAAAAAATATTAATAACATATTTCGTGTTTTCGAAGTGAAACTTCTTTAGGCGTGTGAGGGTAAAATTTTTACAGATGTGTCGTCACGCTGGTATGCAACGGAAGTGTGGTAAGAGAGAGAGAGAGAGAGAGAGACCGATTGAGAAAGAGTGAGACAGAACGAACGTAGTATGAAGCAACTAGTATGAAGTGAGAGTAGGGAGCGAGCGAGTGAGAAAGATTGAGAGAAAGAGTGAGACAGAACGAACCTCGTATCACGCACAGTGCAAAGAAGTTTCACTTCTTGTAAAACTTCTAAGTAACTAACTAACTTGTAAGAAGTACCAAAATTAGGTGGATTTTGGGGTAGCCAATGCTTTTCTGGAGGTAATTTAGAAGTGAGCAATTTGTAAGACAATCTATTTGTATGTAGAGACACAGAGAGAAATTATATATGTATTTAAACACAAATTTATATACGTCTCTAACTTAACACGGTTGAAAGTCAGTGGTGGCCTAGTGGTTAAAAGGCCCGCCTCTGATGCACGAGGGCGCGGGTTCGATCCTGGCAAGTATCAATGTGATTTTTCTGAGTCATATGTACTTTATAAGAGTATTTAGACATCATTAATGCATTCCCAAAGAGGGTTGATGTCATGCAGACGGCCGGTCGTAAAAACTGTTAGCCAAAACTATTCACAACATGTAAGGCAGATTTGGCTAAAGCTGGGAAATTGCCAGGTAGAAGAAGAACGTTTAACAAAAATTTCCATCGTCACACAAAATACGCCGCGTTTGCTGTTTTTTACTCGTAGCCTAAATAATAGATGATGAATGAAAAAGACTGTTGACGCTCCGTAGTAGTTTTAATACAAACTTGGAGTAAGCATATTTCCTACTTCACATATAGAAGTATATTTCCAAAATCATGGAAACATTCAAAATCTGGGAAGATTGTATACTAAGAGAGAATTCATACTTATAAAGTCGATTTGTTTTTGGTAAAGCTGGTAGTTATTAAGGAAAAATGGTTGCTAAAAAAATCTAAGAAATTTTGTTAGAAATATAATAAGTAGCCCTAAACTTCTAGTATTTAGAAAACAATTACTCATACACAGAAAACACAGAATTAAAACCATATAAATAAATAAAATTTAAAAAAACTATATCAAAATATACGTTATTACAAAAAAAAGGCAAATTGTCTATATGAATAATATTTGAAAAAATCTGTTTTCTATTGAAAGTATTAAAATAAACGAAATAAATAAATATACATATAGAAGAGTAATATATCGTAGTTGAACAAAAATTTAAATTTATGATTTCAATCTATATAACATACAGAAAAACATTTAATAGTAAGAAAAAAATTTACATTTCTTTATTATTTTCACAATATTTCCTCCTATATATATCTTACCTTATTTTATAATTATTTTCAAGTAAAGAACCTATTGAACTCTTGCCTCGACTTCGTGTGTCACACTGTAATGCTTTTGAATAGTCAATAATTTACATAATCATCACTTATATGTTACGATTAAAATTACCTATTTATATATAGGTAATTTAAGAATGCTATTTTCTTAAATTTTCGTCCCTAACAAACAAGATGTGGACAAAATTATGTACCGTTTATTTAAACTATAACCATTTTTTTTATATACAGGGTGACTGGTGAATTACTATCAATATTTAAGGAGAATACTCGGTACATGATTCTCATTCGAATTATGTAAAAAAATAGGTACTTAATTTTTGAGAAAAACGTCTACTCTTGATTAAAAAATCTGTATTAGACTTTCTTGATTAATATAGAAGCATTGAAAATATATATACGTGTATATCTATGTATTTATTTAAAAAATCGTATCGTTATCGTATCGTTGAGTGTAAATGTCTCATTCAATATAATACCCGGTAATTTTGTTTCATTCCATGAGAATGCAATTGTTCTTTAAAAATGCATAGCTGCAGTTTTTGTACTAAACATATAAGTAGGACAATTTATAGGGACGCTTGGGACTAAGTTGTCTTATGTTTTCACTAAATTTTTATAAGGCGTAGATTTAAAAACACGATTAACTTTTTTTAAACAACATAAGAACCGTTTTTCATTAAAAAAATCAGTTTAATATTATAAATTAATAATGTTTATTAAAGAAAATCTATTGACGCTACATATAGTGTGACGTTACAATCTTTGAGTAAGCAAATTTTATAGCATAAATATTAACACAAATATTTTCTAGACAGTGATTATATTACATAAATTTTGTATATTGAAAATATTTTTTATATTTTAATTTTAATACAATTTACATATTTGTAACAATCTGTGAATAACAAAAGCTCGTTGCTAGGAAATTAAAAAAATAAACAAATCAAAATAAAATTTGACATAATTTTTTTGATTATATCTATTTATCGTTTTTGTATATATATCAGATTAAAATATAATTATGGCGAAGAAGGATAAGAAGAAAAAGGTAATTTACATACATTACAAATTATATATAATAATAAATGTATATAATAATATATTTAATTAATTTCAGGAAAATGAGGAACCACCGGGTAAATATGAAATAATATATATCTGGTTACGAGTTTAGCTCGGTATTTAGGAATTATTAGTACCTATTTATTTTGTGTTTAAGTGAACACGTTAAGACAAAACAAAATAAATCAACATTTAATTCCTTAGTCTAACTCAAAATAAACACTCATTGATTTATTACTTAACAACGCCATCTATTGTTTTGTCGTTAAAGCAATTAGCAAAAAGTAGTATAACTATTCGCCAATAGATGTCAGTAGAGTCATATTTTAAACGAGGAGTCGTTTTTCTACATAAAATAATATTTTCTAAATCGATTTATCGCCCCCGGAATCACCTATATACTAAATTTCGTGAAAATCGTTGCAGCCTATTCCGATTATATATAAATATATATACAAGAATTGCTCATTTAAATATGTAAGATATAATAATAATGATAGTAATCATTAATTTTTACCAAATATCGAACTATTATTGATAATATATTTAACTAGCTGCAAGGCAAACTTCGTACCACGCTATAATGAAGAAATATCTGTTACCTTTTTATCTGAATGAAGTTAATTTCCTTATTCCTCAATGGAGTTTTGCCTGGTTCAACCTGAAAAACATTAATCACTCAGTTTCCACTTTTACATACATATCAACAGCATATTAGTGACAGAGACGCTAACATGTCAAGATTTTATTGACCTCAACTTCTCCAACCATAAGCCTATATGAATAATAATTCATTTAATTAACTTTTTTGTTAGTTTCAGAACCTAAAAACATGTTTTTTGTGATAAAATTATATAAATTACTTAAAACTATGATAAACATTAAAAACTTAAATTTTTTGTTTACCTGTAACTGGATTTATCATCTTCATTAAAAATAATACCCATCTTGACCTTTCCAAAATAAGATAAAATATATTTATATATGTTCGATGTGTTTCGGACACACGCTGCAGTTAATTATTACATCGGTGTAAAACAATATTGCAGTTATCAACATTTTCACCCACAATGACAATAGCGACTTCATAGATTCATTGGGCATTAAAATGTCTTATGTGTTTGATAACAATTTTGTGATTATCAGATGTCATGTGATCTAATGCGGTCTTGAATAATGCAACCAATGTGTTGTGTCCATGGAATAATAATTGGAACTGTTCCACAACTGGTCTTTTCACAGAATAGTTGTGTGCACAACGCTGATCAACTTGTCTTCCTTAATCGCCCATGAAATTAATTTGGAAAAATTTATAGTCACTGACCGGCACTGGTAATAACTAATAAGTTCAGTGATATATTTGTCCTTGAATCTGCAAAGGTAAACATTCCTGTATTACATATACATATTATAAAGTGAATTGTTCAAACCACCAAGTGAAACTCAAAATGCTTTGTGAGCACTACCATTTCCCCCATCAACTTTTTTAACACAATTCCTTCTGGCTACTAAAAGTAATTCACAGAGCTACAAATGTACTTTAAGCCATTTCAAATGATACACCATTACAATTGAAAACTGTCAACGATAGTTGTAAATGTTTTTCAATACACTTACCTTAAAAGTTGGCATAAAATTTATTGTACTATAGTCCATTTCTGTTATAATCAAATGCAGCTCTATAGGGGTTAAAAGCAACACTTCTATATTGTTGGTTTCGGTTCCATCGATTCCGTTCAACTTCATTTCGCGTTTCACGTTGCTCATCAGTTAGACTTGCTCTTCTATTTCTTTGACTTAAGGCATTACGGGTTCTGCGATTTAAGTTTGTACGTCTACTTGCCGGCATGTTTTGAAACAAAAATTCAACTGAAAATAAAAAAATGCTATTATTCTATTCCTATTCTTTTGTAATAGTATCAAAATGGTCTATCAAAACTTTACAACACTAATAATTCGACTTACCTTGTTGAACAAACACTTCAGAAAAAAACACACAGTACAAATTATCGTGTAGAAACCAATGTGAAAATTACACTAAGAAATGGTAAATGAATTATGTAGGTATTTTTTATTATAACTCCGGCCACAAATAGTAAAACTGAATATATACTTGTACAAAACCACACAAATTAAAAATTACTGTTTGCAAACAATTTGAAAGAATAACTGAACTTTTGAGACAGAGACAATAGTTTATCATAGACTAATATAGTCACACAAACGTCAAACTCAGCTTATGTATCGCGCATTTAAAATTAAGTAATTTTAATCATGTAAAACATAATTATTAACAAAAAAAAACAGTTCTATTTTCATTGTAGTGATTTGTGATAAATGATGTTTTTTTGATTACCTGGCGCATAGACAAACGCGACATTAAATCCTCCAACGACGTATTCTATGCTCCAACGCACACTGTTTTGATAGATATGACTGAATTTGAACTTTGTATAGAGGTAAGAAAGTGCAAATTTACTTTTTGGCGTTAGGAACTCACCTACATTTCTTAGATAACAGTGAGTGCTTGTAATTGAATATGAACTTTATATAATAACAATAAAGCTCAAATTGGTTCTACGTTTTAGTTAGAAAACGTTTGTATGTGAAAAAGAAAAGGGTTGGTTTTAGGGTTTTTCCGGCAATTATTCGATTTTTTCTCGCCGTTAGAACCATCCTTGGAATTCAACGAACATTTTAAAACAAGAATTGGCCAAATTGGTCCAGACGTAGTTGAGTTATTCGCTTACCAACACATTTTGCGATTCATTTTTATATTATAAGATGATGTAGAATATAATTATTGATACTAAAGTTAGGTTTTTAGTATAAAGGAGTAGAAGAATAAGATTTATAATACACTTAACCAGACTGATTAATTATTATTAAATTTTATATATGTAAGTTTAGCATTTGTAATAAAAAATCAATTTTCTTAAAGCAAACGTCTTGTAATAAGTAAATACTATTGAGAACATATTTTAAATAGAGAGAGGAGCTTGACGCTACACCTGGGTCACAAGTCCCAGTCACTGTTGAAGCTCCTCTCACTACAACGATGGACCCGACACACGCATATGAATACATTGAATGATGAGAGGTTTCGTCTCTCTATATATATTAAACCTACACCTGGGTCACAAGTCCCAGTCACTGTTGAAGCTCCTCTCACTACAACGATGGACCCGACACACGCATATGAATACATTGAATGATGAGAGGTTTCGTCTCTCTATATATATTAAACCTACACCTGGGTCGCAAGTCCCAGTCACTGTTGAAGCTCCTCTCACTACAACGATGGACCCGACACACGCATATGAATACATTGAATGATGAGAGGTTTCGTCTCTCTATATATATTAAACCTACACCTGGGTCACAAGTCCCAGTCACTGTTGAAGCTCCTCTCACTACAACGATGTACCCGACACACGCATATGAATACATTGAATGATGAGAGGTTTCGTCTCTCTATATATATTAAACCTACACCTGGGTCACAAGTCCCAGTCACTGTTGAAGCTCCTCTCACTACAACGATGGACCCGACACACGCACCGTGAATACATTGAATGATGAGAGGTTTCGTCTCTCTATATATATTAAACCTACACCTGGGTCACAAGTCCCAGTCACTGTTGAAGCTCCTCTCACTACAACGATGGACCCGACACACGCATATGAATACATTGAATGATGAGAGGTTTCGTCTCTCTATATATATTAAACCTACACCTGGGTCACAAGTCCCAGTCACTGTTGAAGCTCCTCTCACTACAACGATGGACCCGACACACGCACCGTGAATACATTGAATGATGAGAGGTTTCGTCTCTCTATATATATTAAACCTACACCTGGGTCACAAGTCCCAGTCACTGTTGAAGCTCCTCTCACTACAACGATGGACCCGACACACGCACCTTGAATACATGGAATGATGAGAAGTTTCATCTCATAAAATATTTAATATATTCATATAAAACAATGAGTTCTGACCTAAAATTTAAGTTTAACAACAAAACGATTAGAACTTATTTAGAAACTTGGAATTGAGATTAATAATTTCTTCCTATTAAGAGTCAGAAGTACAAGAAGAAGTTTTGGTGGCGACTACGGATCTGGAACCAGAACCACCAGAAGTTCAATACACCGATACTTCGTACACAAGCGCCTCATTTGAATCATTGCCACCAGTTATAGAAGGTGAGTGATTTATCTTATACTAGCTGCGCCCCGCGGTGTTACTTGATTTCCGGGATGTAAAGTAGCCTATGTGCTATTTCTGGACGTCAGCTTCCTGTATGCAAAATTTTATTACAATCGGTTCAGCCGTTTGAGCGCGAAGAAGTAACAAACATACACACACTCACAAACTTTTTCAATTATAATAATATCTTCTATAAAAATTAACGAAGTTTTTCTCAATTTTCTAGATTATATTAAAATTAATTATATTAGGTACATGTTATTATATTATAAAAGGCTTTAAAAATAGGCATTATTTTGCTTACTACATAATTTATGTCTGATTATTAAGATCAAATGTCAGAAGAGGAAAAGACTTGTAAATAATGAGTCTTTTGTTATAAAAGTGACATTATTAAAATCGATGTACTCAAAATTATAGAACAATCTTCGATTATTTCATTCCGTTTCAATATTCAGTCGAAATTTATTTTGTATACGTGAAAGATTAAAAGCTTAGTCATAAACGTGCTTCAGTTTCTTAAAATATGAAGAAAAATAGTTTCATCTTAATAAAATATATATATTTCATATCAACTGGTTCCAAAGAAGATCGATGTATGTTAGATCGATGGTTCCCTTAGCAACCAGTCTATGTAACCATGGCTTCACTCTGTTAGAAACTCAATAGAAATTATAATATATACCTTAATTATATAAAATTTTATTAGTGCAAAGATATAGGTATATATAGAAGCAATATATATGTACCATTCCGAGCATTTCTTTTCAATAGAGACAGAGGATTTATTTTTTAAACATATATGTATGTATTATAAAACTTATTAATATCATATAATATTTCAGAACCAAAACCAAAGAAAAAAAAGGGAAAGAAAAAAGCCGAAGAGGTGTGTTGTATAGTATTTTATATATATAGTAGAAGACCCGGCGAACTTCGTATCGCTCTATAATCAAGAAATATCTGTTACGTTTTTTATTTATATTTTTGGAGTTTACCTATTAAAGACATAAATCTCCGTGTTCTGAAGTGCGACAGAATGATTGACATATTAGTTAGTTGTCAAATCTAATGTCAAAAAAAAACGTTTGTACCAACAACTACTAATAAATTAAAAAATAATTAAAAAAACATTGTCCAGCGGACAAAATTGTGAATCTAAACCATTCCCAGATCCCCTTGAATACACACAAAAAATTTCATCAAAATCGGTCCAGTCGTTTGAGAGAAGTTCAGTGACATACACACTCACAGAAGAATTATATATATAAAGATTGTATGCTTTAGCCAATCAAGAGAAGACTTTATTACATAATACAAAAGAACTTTCATTGTCTCAATTTTATTTTCAGGCCGTCGAAGAAGTAGTAAAGAAGACTAGCAGCGAATTGTTCCAGTGGTCAGAGGAATCTTTACCTCTTGGTAAGAATCTTGTTTATTTATTGGACACTGCTTACTATCTTTCCACCTAATAATGAGAGAAAACGACTGTAGATATGCAATATAACAGTAGTAATCATTCCACTATTGCCTTGAAAACACCAAAATTTTAAGAGAAAATAAACATAGACGCGGACCAACTATTAATTTATTTACTTATACACATCTCGTCTTAATGATCACGGTTGATGAAAAGTAGCCGAAACGTCAGGATTATGTAGTTTTTAAAATAATAAAATACGCCTAGTAATACAAAAAATATTAGTTTAATTTAGTTTATTTATGTACGATATCAGCAACCTTTTTTAAGGAATTATCCCTACTAATAATATAAATACGAAAGTAACTATCTGTCTGTCTGTCTGTTACGCTTTCACGCCTAAACCACTGAACTGATTATAATGAAATTAGGTACAGAGATAGAGTTGACTTGAGAAAGAACATAGGATAATTTTTATCCCAGACTTTTGAAAGGTTCTCTTGGAAACACGATATAACCGAACTCCACGCGGGCGAAGCTGAGGGTGGAAAGCTATTATATGATAAAAAGATTAGTCTCAAAAAACTAACCAAATCCTACAAAATAATATCTAAAAACAGAGGAACAAGTGCAGAAAGTCGAAGAGGAACAAGTTGTTGTTAAAAAGAAAGGAAAAAAGAAAGGAAAGAAAGAAAAAGAGGAAATACCTGACTTTGAAAAGGTATGAATCCTATCACTAATAATAATCAATGGCTTTGCATGTGATGCCATCGTAATATTGTTTTTATTGCCAAACATCAACTGTCGTAAAAATTGCGTGTGTTAAAAACATGAATACAAAAAATACGTTGAGTACTTTGAATTTTTTATACTATATAAGTGAATGTACCAAACATATTGGGGCATTCTTTATTAGGGATTGCTTAGTTATCGACTGTTTCACTGTTAAGTCCCTACTAAAAATATAAATGCGAAAGTAATTCTGTCTGTCTGTTTGTTACGCTTTCACGCCTAAACCACTGAACTGATTGTAATTAAATTTAGTACAGAGATAAAGTCAACCTTGAGATAGAACATAGGATAGTTTTTATCCCAGACTTGTGAAAAGTTCTCTTGGAAACGCGATATAACCGTGCTCCACGCGCTAACTGCGGGCGGAAAGCTAGTTTCAAAATAAATTCTTTAAGCGGTAATAGTTTAAGAGCGTTGTTAAAAACAGCCAAAGAATTGGAAGAAGATGAATAAAAAGGAAAGAGAAAATTGGCTTCAACAAAGAATAGAGGAATGGAGGGCCGAAAAAGAGGCTGAGAAGTTAGTTAACTTTAAACTTTAACTTCCTATCCAATACATTTGTAACGTTTCGTATTATTTGAAATAACCTTATTATGTTAAAGTAATATCACATATTTTTGCTGCACAATTTCCTCAAATCAAAGGTTGCCTGGCAGAAATCGCTGCTTAGCGATAAGACAGCCTTTTTGTACATTTCAATTTATTATATTTTTTCCGTGTAAAATTTACTGTTTGTGTACAATAAAGTATATTCTATTCTATTCTATCAACCATAGAAATATTGTATCTATATTTTATCTTTTCACAAAAACTAGTCAATAAGGTAATTTATTACTGTATATATTTCAATAAATAAAAATAGAACGTTTGACTAAGCATAAATACTAAATATGAAGGATAAAAATGGTATTTTATTTTGAATTAACAATCATTGCGTGTAAGAAAATAGGACAAGTAGTATATAATAGTTTTTTGATCAAAGGCAAGCAATTTTAGCTGGAGCAAAAGAGAAAAGGGCAGCTCTGGCTAAAGAAAGGGCTGAACTAATGGCGAGTGACCACGCCGAAGAAGATATAAGAAGAGATATACTAGCGAAAACGTGTACCCTGTTTCATAGTGAGGAAGTTTTATTTATTATAAATAAACATATATACGTATATATATCTATATATATACTAGAAGACCCGTCGAACTTCGTATCGCCCTATAATCAAGAAATATCTATTACGTTTTTCTATTTATATTTTTGGAGTTTACCTATTAAAGCCATAAATCTCCCGTGTTTTGAAGTAGGACAGAATGATTGATATGAGTTATTTGTCAAATCTAATATAAAAGAAGCGTTTGTATTAACAAGTACTAATAAATTAAAAATTAATTAAAAAAACATTGTGAATCTAAACTATTCCAAGATCCCCTTGAATACACACAAAAAATTTCATCAAAATCGGTCCAGTCGTTTGAGAGAAGTTTAGTGACACACTCACAGAAGAATTATATATATTAAGATATACATATGTATATGTGATTATACCTTCTATAATAAAACTCTTCATTTTCACAGAGTATGAAAAAGAAAAATTCCAATTGGCCAGACAGAAACAACTAGATGACGAAGTAATATTGATAAAATCTCGTATATTTTTTATATTAAAACTAATAAATTAATAAATTGTTTTGAATTCAGTGGCAGCAATATCTGAAATGCGATGGCTTACCAGATCCACGTGTTGTGACCCAAATGAATACATACATACATGTATGGCAAGAAAGTGGTAATTGTGACGATGATGAATTGGACAGACGATGTCAGGAGGCATTACCAGTATGTAATTAATATAAATCCTTAAAATGCATAATAAATATGAATTAAATATTATCTTAGATCCATTCCTTTGTTATAACTTAAATATATGACCAAACAGCAATCCCTACTAATATTATAAATGCGAAAGTAACTGTCTGTCTGTCTGTTACGCTTTCACGCCTAAACCACTGAACTGATTTTAATGAAATTTGGTACAGAAATAGAATTGACCTTGAGAAAGAACATAGGATAGTTTTTTTCTCAGACTTTTGAAAGGTTCCCTTGGAAACGCGATATAACCGAACTCCATGCGAGCGAAGCTGCAGGCGGAAAGCTAGTGAAAAATAAGTAAAGAACCTACAAAATAAACGATATTTAAGCTGATAATTTAAAAAAATTTCAGATGTTAGAAATGTTGGAGGAATTTATGGCTAACGCTAGACAATACACGCAACAACAAGCAGCTAATTACAATGAGGTCTGTCAAACTGTTAAACTATTCCTTTGTTAATAATTTCCAGGTTGTATATACAGGGTGACTGGTGAATTACTATCGATATTTGAGGACGTGATATTTGACGATCATATATGACAAAATAAAAATTAATATAACACAAATATTAATAAACTTCTAAGTAATATTAACCAAAAGTTATGTAATTAATTACGCATCGTATGAACATCCTACAGATTAGGTATACACACACACACACACTCGCGCGCGGCGGCGTTTTGTTGTATCAGCACGCCGCCGCGCGCGTTCACACTTGGAACACTTGGAACGTGTCAACACTTTATTTATTTATACGGAAATTTTGTCAAAAATTAAGTACCTATTTTTTTACATAATTCGAATGAGAATCATGTACCGAGTATGCTCCTTAAATATTGATAGTAATTCACCAGTCACACTGTATAGGCTGTCACAATATATAAGTTTCATTTTTTGATAATTTTTTATAGATCCGTTTAGAACTTCGACATCAGTTAGCTGAAGCTATACAATGCGCTTCATTCACACTCTTACGTGATTTGGAGAATAAATTGAAATGGGATTCAATTAAATTAGCAATGTACGAGCGTGAATTCAAAGGTTTGAAACTAAATTTATGGGTAGCTGTCCCCTTGCCAACTAGGAAACCTAAACCGGTTGAACCAGAAAGGTAAAAAAACATCCTTTAACTTATAATTAATGATTATAATTCGAGCAAAACATGCTTAAATATGGTCTACATATATTAATATCAAGTCGTTTCTTGAATTAAAAATAAAGATTTCTTTTGTCAAAGAAATGAAAATAGTATTGGGACGCAAACAATGTATCAAGTAATAGAAATTAAATTTTGGTTAGAAAATTCAGAGGTAATTTCAAGATTAGGTTTTAGGTTCAATATATTTAGGTTCAATGGAAGATAATAAAAAAAGGTTTATGTGTTTTAAACGAAGTACGCATCTTTAAGCTAAACACAGTCAGTTAATTTTTTTTTCTTAACTTGTACTAAAGATTCTAATTAAACAACTGAAATCATGTTTGTAAACTATTGTGGTATTAAAATGTTATAAAATAGGATATATAGTAACTCCATCATAAAATGACCACAGAATCATTTTCCTTCTGTAAATTGTATAAAAATTCCTATTAAAAATTTCTTTATATAACCACTAGGTTTTTCCCCCGACTTTGTCCTCGTTTGTTTCATAATTATAAATGTATAACTATAATGTTTAGATTAAGGAGCAGTAAATTAATTTTGGATTTTATTACAAAATATTTTTTTTGATCGTACGAATTCAAAAGTATCTAATGTCCGTCTCCTGATTCCAACCTACCTCTTCACAAATTTCCATCCAAATCCGTACAGCCTTCCTTGAATTATAAATAGCGTAATTAACACGATTTTCTTTACGGTTTGAGATATCTTTATTAATATTTCTCACAAGTATAAAATTCACTTAGGAGAAAAATAAGGTACATTAAAACTTGTTTACATGATGGCTAGCGTTTATAGAAACTTTGATATTTAAATTATATGTCTAATATATAGTAAGAAAAATTATATACCAATTTGTCCTAGGGAACCCGTTGAGCTATTCTTTCCTTCTATAAAAGTGGGTGTAAAGTTACCCAAAACAATAGATGGCTCACGTGTGTGTGTTCGTGCGGCTAGATCTTTGATAGACCTTCTAAGTGAAAGTTCTAGAAGCTTCAGCCTGGCTGCAGAAATGCCGAATAGATATGAAGGTAAATTATTGAAATAAAACTATTTACGCAACATCCAAAAAGGTTGCGTTAAACGTTAAACGTTTAACGTTGTAAAGTAGGGGAAAGAGAAGGGAATGTTTTAAGCGGGAATGCATGCGGGCATGCAATTGTGACTTATAAGTAATATTAGTATTTTTTTTTTAAGGAAATACTAAAAATTTTTTAAATATCAATGTCTACTCTTTACTGTTTTCATTCTAATATCAAGAAGTTTCACTTCTTCCGCGCAGAGGCACGCAACGCACAATTATTTTCTATATAGGTAAATACAAGTAATAAGACCCGTCTATCTTCCTATAATTAAATACTAGTTTTTACCCGCGACTTCGTCCGCATTAACTTCAGGATTAGACATGTAAATAACCTGCGAAGAATATCCGCGTTTAAGGCATCAATAAACAGAATTTGCATTGTTTTAATTTTTTTTTATGAAAATTAATATATAGGTAAGAACCTATCTTCCCACAAATTTTTAGTTAAATCGATTCACGTATCTTTGAATTATAAAATGTGTAACTGATATATATAGATGTTTATTTATTTATTTATTTATTTGTAAGTAAGTGAAACAAATTATTTTATATTACATAAAACTTATAAACCTTAAATAACCCACATGCCAATACAGTTTCCACAAATAATTAATATGGAAGTGAACATATATAGAAAAGAGATAAAACAGTAAAATTAAATGTATTTTAATTAAAAAAACTAACAAGTGTAAAAATGTATATAAACCTATTATATGGTTTCAGATCTCTTTATATTTAACGTAAAAGAACACGTTGAGACATACAAGCTAAAGAAAGAACAAGACGAAATAAGAACAAAGTTCTATAAAGAAATACGGGAAAGAATAAAAGAAGTTGAAGCATTTTTGAAAGCAAATCCGTAAGTTATATAGGATTAGTTGATGTAGGATGAATAACATAAGAATTATTCACAATAATGGGCTTGTAATATATGTCTTCTTCTACCTGGCAATTTCCCAGCCATAGCCAGGATCTGCCTTACATGTTGTGAATAGTTTTGACTAATTGTTTTTACGATTGGCCGCCTGCATGACATCAACCCTCTTTGGGAATGCATTAATCAGTGATGTCTAAATACTCTTCAAGTACATATGACTTGGAAAAATCACATTGGTACTTTGGGAAGTAGAAGGCCAGGATCGAACCTGCGCCCTCGGCAACGAGAGACAGGCCCTTTAACCACTAGGACACCAGTGATACCATATATGTATAGACTTAAAACCAATCGTTTCTATAGAAGAAAGTTACTTCAATATTTTAGATAAGTGGAATAGTTTGTAATACTTCACTATAAGCTCTCTCACGTACTTCCACTAAATAGAAAACGTGATACGTCAAGTATGGAGTACCTAACATAGATTTATCTTCTATCTTCTATATATATAAAAATGGATTGCTGTTCTTTAGTCTCGCTAAAACTCGAGAACAGCTGAACGGATTTATCTTATCTTAGTCTTGAAATGTTCGTGGAGGTTCAGAGAAGGTATAAAAGCTGAAAAAAATTGATTCATTACTGGGAAAACCATAAAAACAGCCCTTTTCTCTTTCCCATACAAAAGGTTTTTAGACATTAGATTTGACAACTAACTAACATGTCATTCATTCTGTCGCACTTCAAAACACGGAGATTTATGACTTACAGGTTAACTCCAAAAATATAAATAAAAAAACGTCATAGATATTTCTTGATTATAGGGCGATACGAAGCTCGCCAGGTCTTCTAGTATAAAATAAATATACATATATACCTTTGAATATAAAAGAAATACATGTTAACGTAATTCTTCCATATTATAAATATATTTCTGTTTCATTAAACTATTATAAATAACTTCATTAACACACAATGTACCTAATACCTAATTATGTACAGTATATTACGAGACCCTTCAAACAATCAACTATTGTCGAAGTATTTTACACGTGAATGTCTGAAACGCAACCAAAATGTGTAAATAATTCTAATAATAATACATTTTTTTATTATAATATAGATTTAAAAATATCTTCTCGCTGTATGAATGTTATATGTATATATAATTTTGATTTTATTTTTAAGTAAAAACTATATCAATTTTCTTCCTGGCAATTTCTCGGCTTTAGCCAGGGTCTGTCTTACATGTTGTGAATAGTTTTGGCTATTAGTTTTTACGACCGGCCGCCTGCCTGACATTAACCCTATTTTTGGGAATCAGCATTAATCAGTGATGTCTAAATACTCTTGTAAAGTACATGTCAGGTTTTTGCCAGGGCCAGGATCGAACCCACGCCCTCGTGCATGAGAGGCGGGCCTTTTAACTACTAGGCCACTAGACCACTGGAAATAAAAAGTATATCAATGCAACACTATAATGTAATAAGATTTATGTATGAAAAACTATTAACGCTGCGTATGTAGTGACGATAAACTAGTGGTAAGCATGGAAAAGATAAATCAAAACAAATCCATAAGCAACTACATCTAATGCAATAAATATATCTTTTCTTAAATAAAAATGTCTATATAAACGTTTCTATAAAATGAATTCGCTTAAAAATTCAATCATTAAATTAATATACTTCTAAAGTATGCAATTACATATTATCTTATAATTTATTGTTAATTAATAATTCATTTTTTCAACGTTGTTTTACTTTTACTAATAATTTCAGTAATATTTTTACTATTAGTATTTAAAATGTGAGTGGGTAGTCCCGAATAAAGTGGTTAGTGATACTACATGTAGACACGTCTAACATAAGGTAACCTCTTAATGCATTTTCATATTATTTGAGATTCTTGTGCATATATACATATATTTAATTATATAATTATTATGTACACTACTAATTTTTAAAAGATAGACTTTGGTGGGTAATAGAGATCGTGTCAATTTGGCAAATACAAAAAAAATAGTGGTCAGTTGCTTTGTTAACAAGATCGACAATTTCTATTGAAACGGACTATGTATATATAAATATATAAAAGTCAGTGGTGGCCCAGTGGTTAAAGGGCCCGCCTCTCGTTGCCGAGGGCGCGGGTTCAAACCTGTCAAGAACCAATGTGATTTTTCGGAGTTATATGTACTTTCTCAGAGTATTAAGACACCACTGACATACGGTGAAGGAAAACATCGTGAGGAAACCTGGACTTATAGTTTCACAATTATAAGTTTGAAATCACCAACCCGTCTTGAGCAAGCGTGATGATTAATGCTCAAAACCTTCTCCATGTGAGAAGAGGCTAAGCAGTGAGCTCTGATAGGCTGATGATGATATGTATAACAGATATACAAAAAACGAGAAAGAAAAAGACGAATTGGATAATCTTAATATGGCTGAACCACCTTTCCTCCCTGATCCAAGAACATATTTAGGAGAACAGAATGGTAAGTGTGTTATTTCCTTGCGATATTTAAATAAGTTTTTACTCAAAATAACGAAACTTTAACTGCATATACTGTCTAAAAATAAGGACATTTCCTTATATTTCTCAATTAGTTCACCATAATTTCATTATTGAGAGGAATGATGATTTTTTTTATGTTTTGGGTCATTTGATATAATATACAATACTTAATGGTTTAAAATTTCTTTTAACTCTTCTTATTTTTGATGATTAATTAATAATTAAAAAGCACAAACATGAATTGATAATCATTTTTATATTTCCAACACTTTCTGCTATGATAGAAGATACAAATAAAAATGTTATTTTTGACTAATTTAACCTATTTTGGTGTATATATTTTTTTAGAATTGGCATTCGCAAAATATTTAAAGTTATGCAACACGAGGACTCGAAAGGGAGAGGTTCATTTAAGAAAATATAGGTAAGACTTATTTTATATATAACTTCTTACAATTTAAACACTATATGTGTTAAAAAGTACTTTTCTGATAATTTCTCTATTTTAAAAATATCAATATTTAAATAAAACTATTATTATCGGATTTACTATACATTTTTTATTGTTTTAAACTACTATTAGAAGTAATTTGGGCAGCACTTCCATTTAGATGTTAATTACTCTACAACTTGTAACCGAATCCCCAGTCTAAAACTTGTATCGTATTTACAATATTCAAAAGTAACATTTAGTCATAATATTAGGCGCTAGTTCTTCTCATAAGAGTTTCCATTAAATAATAAAACACTTAACATTGTATAAAACATGCTAAGGCTCTTATTATAAATTATAAAACCAAACCAATTTGGACATTTAAATTACTGTACAGAAATATTATTAACATTAATTTACACTACTAAACCGAATACAGATGGCGCTAGTTGACTATCATAAGAATTCCCAATAAATATTAGAATATTAATAACGTGAAGCTTAGAATTGTCAAGTTGACTTATATTTAAATTATTATAAGTAATTATTACTAAAACTTCATACTCCCGAAAAATAACAAGACTAAATGACAGGCATTTTCATGTCATTTTGTAACAGAAACGTCGGGAGGTCAAAGTAATACGAAAATATTAGTTTAATTTAAATGAATACTAGCAAAATTCTTTGATCTCATAAAATTAATATATTTAATTCATTGTTTCCTAATTTTATCTTTTTTCAGGATTTGCAGCGGTGTTTTAAATTTAGATCTCCTCATTACGCCGCCTCAGCCTAAGAGAATACAAGGAGACATCTATTTGTCAACTTGTAAGTTATATTTTAAATTTATATGAAAAAAATATATTATTGGTCGGAAAAATTTATTATATACCTAATTTATAAATTTTGTTATTTGACGTAAACGTATAAATTTGTTTTTTATATATAAAAATATCTATTTCAATCAACAAATCAGTTTTAAATTATAAATACAATAATTTAAAAGATTCATTTCTATTATACGGATCACGAATAAAATAATTGACTATAATTCTCATATAAATCCAATGATATTAAGAAAATAAAGTTAGACTTTCGCCTTAAATAATACTAGTAAAAAATGATAATATTATAAGCCAATACTGGAATATTTTGGTGACTTTTTTTAACATCATTGTCTAATAAAACAAAAATTTACTGTAAAACCATTGAAATAATAAAAAAAGCTATTCTTTAAGCCAAAGAAACGTTTTCGGAATGCTTTATTTTCAATGTGACAATTCTCTTTTTGAGTCTCTTCCAAAATAGATTACGTTCTGATTCCTCGCTGGGCCATAAGATGTAGGTTTTTGTGAGCATCAAATAATGTAGTGTGTTTGGACGAAGACGTCTCGGTATTTCTTCTAGAAGTACAAGTATCAAATCTTCTCGTCTCGTCTCTAAGAGCCTGAAAACAAAAATGTTTTATATATAAAACAGATTTTATATATAAAACAGAACAGAAAACCATTCTCAGATTGTGAATCTAAACCATTCCCAGATCCCCTTGAACACACAAAAAATTTCATCAAAATCGGTCCAATCGTTTGAGAGAAGTTCAGTGACATACACACTCACAGGAGAATTATATACAGGGTGACTGGTGAATTACTATCAATATTTAAGGAGAATACTCGGTACATGATTCTCATTCGAATTATGTAAAAAAAATATGCACTTAATTTTTGACAAAATTTCCGTATAAATAAATAAAGTGTTGACACGTTCCAAGTGTTCCAAGTGTGGACGCGTGCGGCGGCGTGCTGATACAACACCACGCCCCGCTCGCTTATGTGTGAGTGTATACCTAATCTGTAGGGTGTTCATACGATGCGTAATTAATTACATAACTTTTGGTTAACTTTACTTAGAAGTTTATTAATATTTATGTTATATTAATTTTTATTTTGTCATATATGATCGTCAAATATCACGTCCTCAAGTATCGATAGTAATTCACCAGTCACCCTGTATATGTTAATATCATAAGTCATTTCTATAGCATAAAGAACATAAATATGAAGTATACAAGTTTTTATATATTTTCTAAACAAGAGAATTTTTTTCTATGCACAAGTAACTCTTACATTAGAAATGAATAAATATATTTTAATTGGCTTATACTGTGTGAGATAGTCACTATTTTTTTCTAAGAAAAAGTAACGATAAATCAAAATAAATATCGAATTTAAAGCTAAAATTAACTAAAATGTTTGTGTGATTCAAAAAAAGCGTTAATGAAATTATAAAAACCAAGGTAATTAAACATAATAAGTGCAAAGTGATCTGAAAGATAAAATATCATTGGGATTATTCAGTAAGTATTGGAGGAAGCAGGTTAAAGGCCCGCCTCTCATACATGAGGGCGCGAGTTCGAAACCTGGCAAGTGCTATGTGATTGTTCCGAGTCATATGTACTTTATAAGAGTATTTAGACATCACTGACTGATGAAGGAAAACATCGTGAGGAAACAATGACTTATAATATCAAATTATAAGCATGAAACCGCGAACCCATCTTTAACAAGCGTGGTGATTAATACTCAAATCTTCTCCATATGAAAAGAGGCAGCTCAGCAGTGGGCTCTGATAGGCTAATGATGACGTTGAAGCATTCAAAAAATATTATGGTAATGTTATTAAAAATATTAAAAGTTTAAAAAGAACTCTAAAAAATATTTAGCGTTTAAACAAACTTATAATCGTGAAATTATAAGTCCAGATTTCCTCACGATGTTTTCTTTCATCGTCTGTCAGTGGTGTCTAAATACTCTTATAAAGTATATATGACTCGGAACAATCACATTGGTACTTGCCAGGATGGAACCCGCGCCCTTGTGCATGAGAGGCAGGCCTCTGAACCACTAGGACACCACTGACTTAGTTCTCATGATTATTGATGCAGTTGAAATTCTTAGTGAAATTAATTTAGATATACTGAAAAACTGATTTTTGTTTTAACCAATAACTAAATTGATATACTAAAACGCTAAATTTTTACTTTTTTATGACCAACTCCTAATTATTTATATGGCAAAACAACGTTTGCCGGGTCAGATAGTATTGTCGTCATCAGCCTATCAGAGCCCATTGCTGAGCAAAGGCCTCTTCTCACATGGAGAAGGTTAGAGCATTAATCACCACGCTTGCTCAAGACGGGTTGGTGATTTCAAACTTATAATTGTGAAACTATAAGTCCACGTTTCCTCACAATGTTTTCCTTCATCTGTCAGTGATGTCTAAATACTCTTAAAGTACATATGACTCGGAACAATCACATTGGTACTTGCCAGGACCGAACCCGCGCCCTCGGCAACGAGAGGCGGGCCCTTTAACCACTAGGCCACCACTGATTTAACTACTGTCAGCTAGTATATTACTTATAGATATAAAACTATTATAGCACTTTATTATTTAATATTTATAGCCTCAGCATATTCAGTAATTTTTTTATAGTTTATATATTACCTGTGTTGTGCTAAATGCATTTCAAACTGACACCATTGACTTAATAGGAATCTCTTTGATATAATGAGGATTATAGATCGAGACCGATCCATACACGACACTATATTCTCGAGAATAGACAGACCGACCTAAAAATAATAATAACATTACATAAATTCAAATAAGTTTTCTTATATTTAAAGTGTACATTGAAATGAGACTTGTGTACAAATAAATTTGTGTACAACGGAACTAAGAAATGAGACTTGTGTATAAAAGAACTATGAAATGAAACTTGTGTCACCTTAAAATATTTTTAGATTTCATAAAGATTGAAATTAGTCGAAATATACATAGGACTACATTCATTCACCAACAAGTAATAAATTTTAAAGATCGTTTAAATACAAACAGCAAATTGATTAATAATTCTTTTTTAACTTCAATATATACCTGGAAGTCTCTTTCGTGTAAACAGACACTTATATTGCAGTCCTGTTCTACGTGGGGTAGGAAATAATCTAGAACCCACGCTCTGTCCTCATTGCAATATGATATAAAAGCATCATAGTTAAATATTGTTGTATCTAAAACAATTTAATATAAATTACATTTAAATGAAACTAATATTATTCGAATATATTACGCATATCATCTACAGATGAGTAACAAGACCAACTGACAGAAAACAAATCTCGTTTTATGATCACGGTTGCTTAAAAGTAACCAAAACTTCGGGCATATGCAGTTTTTATATAAAAATAAAACACCCGTGGTATATACGAAAAATATTAGTTTGATTTAAATTTAATATGAATTCTTTCAGCAATTTTGATATCTTATTATAATCATTATAATTATTTGATTATAGTTCTTATACACTCGTAATCTGCCCTGGATTTAATAAAGTACTTCAGGAAACATACATTGTTTAATATTTATTTAAATTTTAAAAACTTACCATTGAAAACCTCGTCTTTGTTGATCAAGCTCAGCATGGTAGTATTTTTGATGGTAATCAAGAAATATCGTAAATTCTTTCTATATACGTAAATGAAAAGTAAAGTCGGTAGAAGTGTAAGTGGTATGAGAAACAGCAAGAACAATCTCCATTCGCGTTTAACCTTTTTTTCTATATCGTAATTCCGACTCAGGTAGGAACAATTTGTTATTCTGTCAACATTTGTTAGTTTTCCCTCCGATGACATGAGACAGCGGAACGAATAAGTATCGTCTTTATCGATAAGCAATACGAAATTACCTCTTGCTCTAAAATCTTTCTCGATTCTCAATGTTCTGTTAGCACTTAAGTTTGTTGTGTTCTGTCTTCTAGTTATAGCGTTGTTAAAGTACCTCAAACCGTCATTAAAAAATACAGACCCATCATTTTCATCTATAAATTCTATTAGCGAGCGTTCTGTACGTTCGTTATTGATGCTAATACCGTATACATCTCTTAGAGAACAACTGCAAAGCAAAAAATTATTAGATAAATCAACATAGGAAAGGTTTTGAAAATCCTCGAACATTTCTTGAGTAACAATGTTCATATTATTCCTGTTTAAAGATAATAGTTTAAGATTCGGCATCATTGAAATAACTTTATTGAACCAAGACAACATTCTGTTGTGACCCAAATCGAGAACTTGTAATTTCTTCAATGTAATCGATACGTTTGGTGTCAATGCAGCTATTTCGTTTTTCCTCAATTGAGCTATTTCCAAATTAGTCAAATTGTACAAGCAATCAATGCTCTTCATTCCTACTTCCTGTGCATACAGAACTTTTAAAGAATTCTCTATCCCACTAAAAATTGAACGAGTATTTAATATATCCTTATTGCCAGATACTTCAAGAAATCTCAGTTGTGTTTTATCAAAGGGTTTCGGTCCTAGTTTTCGTAGATTCGAAAAACATAATGATAAACCTTTCAGATGTTTTAAATCTTTAAACAACGGTACGTTATGGTTACCAAACTGGGAGTATGATAAGTCCAAAGATACCAATTTCGAGCCCCGAAATTCATTCCTATTTTCAAAATGAAAACTTATAGGTCTATTCATATCATCAAGAGCACAGTTTCTACTTAAATCTAAATGTCTTAAATTTTTTAATCCGGAAAATGTGTTCGCTTCAACAAAATGAATCTGGTTTTCACTTAAGTATAACATTAACAATTTTGGCATTGAATTGAAGGTAGACGAACCCAGCGATTGTATACCACATGCTCTTAAATCAAGTTGTAAAAGGTTTTCAAAATTAACATCTTGGAAACCTTTCCCCCAAGAAGACAAATCTGAAATAAAACTTAAATTCAACTAAAACCTAAAACATTATTTTCTAGTATAGACACAGCATTTTCTATATTATACTTACGTTGATAGTATTCTTTATTTAATATTTTTTCGTCATTGAATCTAGCAAAATTTATTCCGATTAACGCATCATCATAATTCTTCTTTTGGAGATATTTCATGCTAAAATCATTGCCATAGAATGTTATATATACAAGTGTTTCTGCGATTCTTTTGCCGCGATGATATTGTAAGTTAAAAACCTGCAAAATATTTTTTTACATTTCATCTCTATGTATTCGATTTGATCTAAACTTGTCAATTAATAGTTTAGTTAAAATTTTTACCTCTGGAACACTCTGCAAACCACATTTGGCCATACTGAAATATGTGATTCTGTCATAACCTTTGAGCTCAAATTCTTTTAAGTGTTGTTCAATTTTTAGCATAGGACTTTGTATTCCAAATAGGTCCAATTTACTTTCATCATCTGCAATGTCAAGAATATTAGATAATATTGCATAAAATAAAATTACAAGAAGAATTTAGTATTTAGATTTCGATAAAATTTACAAAGTTGTTCATTATTAATGTACCTATCTAAATAAAGTTAAGTTATTTCGTATGTCAGCAAAGATTGTGTTTGTAATATTGAATTTCTATCAGAGCAACAATAAAACCTCTAATTACAGTAGAAGCTTAATATTTCATTAGATCGCTCTGAAAGTTTAACTATTAAAAAAATCTATAAAATAATGAAAATAAATTTTTATTATATTTGATGTGGTAGTAATAATTTTTAAACTTTCGTCTTACCCACATTTGCAGTGAAATTACCAAATCTATCGACCCAGGACTGTAAATCAGTCATGTACCCTGACAAACATTTGTCGGGTTCCTGACATGATGTTTTGCAAAGAAAACAGGAGAACAATCTGAAAGGAATTTTATATTGTTTTACCCTTAAACTAATTTAACTCAGCAAAAACATTTCGTTAGATAAACGGCGAACCTTTCATCATTACTTTCCTTTCAAAAAAATCATATTCTAATTTTTTCTAGCGCAATATATTAACATCCAAACATAACCTTAATTAAAATTTAACACAATACGATAATTTAGTTATTGATAAGACAAATCAAAATTTAAAACACATGATATAAAAGATACTCATATGCATATGTACAATTAAGTACCTATTTTTTTTACATAATTCGAATGAGAATCATGTACCGAGTATTCTCCTTAAATATTGATAGTAATTCACCAGTCACGCTGTATATATTCATTATTTACACTAATAAAAATTGAGAACTCACATAAGTACGAGAAACATTTTGCTAAATCCATTTTGATGAAACGTCATTCCTTTTCACATTTTTCTTTGAACACCAAGACCATACACTTTACGTGTTGCTTATGAGACAATATTTATTGAAACTCTAAGCGTGGTTTGATAACAGTACCTATACAATTTTTTATTGAGATTGTACAGATATGATATGCCTTATCTTTTTGTATATTCAAAAGGTATTGATTAATAATATTTATCGTTTATAGATACAAATTATTTATCCGGTATGTATATTAATATAATGACATTACTATTATATTCACGCTTCGTTTAAAATAACTATTTTATTTCGTGTATTAGTTTAGTTATTTTCAATTTTGTTTTTCAAAAAATAATATGGGAAAAATATTTTTAAAATAATTAATATGTAGTGTTTCTGTGATCTGTATGTTAATGAATTTTATTCAAATTTTTTATACATATTTATTTCGATTGAAAAGTCTTTTTTTTTATATTTTATTAAGATTAGTCTTTTAACACTGCGATGGTTATTTAGTTTCTAAAATATTTATTTTCAATGCACACGTTTCTATTATTAATGAAAAATATTTTTAACACAAAATAGGTTTATAGAAAGTAACTATATGAATGAAACCCTACTAATATTATAAATGCGAAAGTAACTCTCTCTGTCTGTCTGTCTGTCTGTTACGCTCTCACGCCTAAACCACTGAACTGATTTTAATGAAAGCTGGTACAATGATAGAGTTGACCTTGAGAAAGAACATAGCATATTTTTTATCCCAGACTTTTGAAAAGTTCTCTTGGAAAAGCGAAATAACCGAACTCGACGCGGGCGAAGCTGCGGGCGGAAAGTTAGTAATCTATAAATATGTTATTTTATCATACATTTTCTGTCCAAATTCTAAATTTAAGTCACTTTGTTTTTTGGCATGTGTATAATTAACAAAGATTATATTTATATATATTACATTGTTTTACAAATCGTGGTGGCCTAGTGGTTAAAGGCCCGCCTCTCATGCATGAGGGCGCGGGTTCGAAACCTAGCAAGCACCAATGTGATTGTTCCGAGTCATATTTACTTTATAATAGTTTTTAGACACCACTGACTGATGAAGGAAAATATTGTGAGGAAACCTGGACTTATAGTTTCACAATTATAAGTTTGAATCGCCAATCCATTTTGATAAAGCGTGTAATTAATGCTCAACCTTCTCCATGTGAGAAGAGGCAGCTCAGCAGTGGGCTCTGATATGTTGATGATATTGTAATATTTCGTCAGTGGAACTGCCTAAACAACTGCGACCTATGAAGTATCAAGTTCAGTATAGAGCACCATCTCCTCCGCCTGCCGGAGTAACAAGGACTCCTGAGGAAATAGAAGCTGAGATGAAGAAAGTCGAAGCACAATACGAAAAATTAGCACTAGTATCAATAGAGTAAGTATTCATTGATTATTTTTATTTCAACAGTCATTTTAGTACTAAATACTACTTCAATACTTAATAAGATTAAAGACTTGATTATCCCTACTAATATGTAACGAAAGTAACTCTGTCTGTCTGTTACGCTTTCACGCCTAAACTAACAAACTGATTTTAATGAAATTTGGTACAGAGATAGAGTTAATTTTGAGAAAGAACATAGGATAATTTTTATCCCAGACTTTTGAAAGGTTCTCTTGCAAACGCGATTTAACCGAAATCCACGCGGGCGAAGCTGCGGGCGGAAAGCTAGTTTTTAACGGATGTACTACGCTTTTATTATTATTATTTTAATCACATACTCCAAATGTTTCGGTATCTTTGCAACCGTGACCACAACGACGTGATGAAATGCCGATTTGTTAAAAAAAAAACGCGTAGTAATCCGAAAATATTAGTTTCATTTAATTAATTAATTTATACAATTGTATTAATATTGTAGATATTATAAATTTTATTAATTATTAGGCCCAAAATTCATCTGTTTTAAAGTAAATATATATTTTTGGCATTGATTCTACATTTATTGGACATTAGTACATACAACAGTAAATTGAGAGTATAAATGAAAATTAAGTTTTTGACAATAAATCTTGATTTTTCTATCTAGAAATATCTCCTAACCACGATAATGTATATATTACCAATGGTAAAAGAACAATTTTAAAGTCCAAAAACTAAAAATACATTTACAAATCTTTTAAGAGAAGTTTAAACAGCCCAGTGGTGGCCCAGTGGTTAAAAGGCCAGCCTCTCTTTGCCGAGGGCGCGGGTTCGATCCTGGCAAGTACCAATGTAATTTTCCGAGTCATATGTACTTTCTAAGAGTATTTAGATATCACTGACATACGGTGAAGGAAAACGTCATGAGGAAACCTTGACTTATAATTTCACAATTATAAGTTTGAAATCACCAACCCGTCTTGAGCAAGCGTGGTGATTAATGCTCAAACCTTCTCCATGTGAGAAGAGGCAGCTCAGCAGTGGACTCTGACAGGCTGATGATGATAATTAAACACCTCAAAAATATATATCATTAAAAAACAAATAAATTTATATTAAATATTAATGCCAATTAATCTTATATCGTTCAATAAAAAAAATTGACATATTTTTTTTATTTTATTACGAAGAGTATATATATTTCTTCTTCTTTATTCTTCTTTATTCTTCTCCAGTCTCTCCGAAGACGTGATGTGGTCCGAGCCACCTGTCATCTGTCAATGGCAAGAGTCAAGAAAACTGTGGACGTCAAATTATGTCAATGATTACAAGTTTAATGAAGATAAATTGACAGTACAATTCAGAACCGGTGTTCTATGTAAGCTAAGCTATAGATAACTATTTCTTTAAACAATTCTCTAGTAATTTAGTCTATAGAAAACTATTTAACAGATATAAGTCAAAGTAAGATATATAATAAGATATAAGTAATCATATATTACTAGCTGCGCCCCGCGGTGTTACCCGCGGATTTCCGGGATGTAAATTAGCCTATGTGTTATTCCTGGACGTCACCTTCCTGTATGCAAAATTTTATCAAAATCGGTTCAGCCGTTTGAGCGTGAAGAAGTAACAAACATACACACACACTCAAACTTTCGCAATTATAATATTAGTATGATATGGAATATTTTTTATTTGTGTCTCGAAAATGTAGTAAAAGGTATTTAATGATTTTTTTAGTAATGAAATATAACTTAAGTGTTTGTAATTAATTCATTAATTCCGTGTAATTTATATGAAAACATCGTAATAGTTGTATGTAGCATGAAGTAGTGATACAGGCGATAGATGGCGTTGACGGTTGATTAAAATCGTCATTTCCATCTAAATATAACGATTATTAAGCGAGTAAAGTCGGGATCAAAATCTAGTATGATATAATTTCTAGGGCCGATTGGGATTGCCGTGTTGAGATATGGCAATCTTCCTTACCAAGGATGGGATATTAGACCAGATTCCAAAAGGTAAATGAAGTACATCAGTTTGTCATAACCACAGTAATATTATAAATGCAACTTAAAATTGTAAATTTAAACAACCATATGCAAGCAATAATTAAAAATTGATATTGAGATTTCAAATTTTCGCGAGTTTTATTCATTTAAATGAAGTTAATATTATTTCGTTCTTATTTTTGTACAAATCTCGTTGCTGAAAAGTAAGCGAAACTGTGGGAGTATGTAGTTCTTTTAGAAAAATATACCACGCTTTTTATATCCGAAAAATATTAATTTCATTTAAATAAAATATAGATGCATATAGAAACAAAAGTAGGTAAACTATATACACAGATTTCTGTCAATACACTTTTACGTCTATTATACATAGTAGATTTTAAATACAATTAAATTGAAGTAATTTTTTTTACTCATACTTTCATCTAGTCTTCATGATCACGGTTGCTGTAAAGTAACCGAAATTTCGAGATCATGTAGATATAGAATAAGAAACACGTAGTATACGAAAATAATAGTTTAAATTAAATCAAGTTTTATACAAAAAAATAGTATTGTATTGATACATTTCAGTAAAGGAGTTATAATAAATGTGACCGGTGCGTGTGTGACTGTCACATTTCTATGTGTCGGGAATTCTGTTAAATTGAAATGGATAGCGAATGCAACTACTCCAGCGTTAAAAGAACATTTCGATAAGCCCTACAGCGTCAAGAAAATGGTTCAGGTAAAATATATACATATATATATGTCATTTTATGTCATTAGCCTATCAGAGCCCACTGCTGAGCTGCCTCTTCTCACATGGAGAAGGTTTGAGCATTAATCACCACGCTTGTAAGACGGGTTGGCGATTTCAAACTTATAATTGTGAAACTATAAGTCCAGGTTTCCTCACGATGTTTTCCTTCACCGTATGTCAGTGATGTCTAAATACTCTAAGAAAGTACATATGACTCCGAAAAATCACATTCGTACTTGCCAGGTTTGAACCCGCGCCCTCGGCAACGAGAGGCGGGCCCCTTAACCACTAGGCCACCACTGTAATGACGTAATAATTCCGAAGATGTTTTTAGTACTCATATGTCGATATCTCCTATGTATATGCCAATGTACAAATAACATTTGTTCAGTAGAGACGTTGTAAGTTTGATGTCAATGGATTGTACATACAACTGATGCTTTTGATACTTTGTATATCAACTATGACATACATGTACGACATTTAAGATTGATACACTCTTTTGTAAACCAACTATTTTTTTAAATATATACATTATTGCTTATTGCTTTTTTAATGCTATAAAAACTAAGTCTTTTCACCAACAAATACATATTTGTAAATGGATGTTGTAGATTACAGTATTGTGAAGTTTTTAAAGGAATAAATTAATATTGCTAAATTCCTTATACATAGGACCAATATATATATATTTCTTTCTATATTTTAATGTAGATAATGCGTGAAGCTGCTTGCGATTTCTTTCCTGACTTCGACGGGCATAACCACGTTGAAGGATCATGCCCTAAAGAGTGGGTCAGTGAGAGGCATAACTATCACGCTATGGCATTCCTGTCTCGAGCTTATAACTTCCAATGGAGCAGGTTTGTTATCCCTACTAATATTATAAATGCGAAAGTAACTCTGTCTGTGTCTGTTACGCTTTCACGCCTAAACCACTGAATTGATTTTAATGAAATTTGGTACAGAGATGGAATTGACCTTGAGAGAGGACATAGCATAGTTTTTATCAAAGATTTTTGAAAGGTTCTCTTTGAAACGCGATATAACCGAACGAAACGCGGGCGAAGCTGCAGGCGGAAAGCCAGTATAAAAATAAAAAAGCCTATATTTTTCACAGAAATTTTTTGTATTACATGGATTGTTACTACTTATTATATCTATTACTTTTCTCTATGATTACTTGATTTATATTTCTTCATCTGTCAGTGATGTCTAAATACTCTTAAGTAAATATGTATGACTCGGAACAATCACATTGGTACTTGCCAAGATCGAACCCACGCCCTCGTGCATGAGAGGCGGGCCCTTTAATCACTAGGCCACCACTGACTTTTATATTATATTTAATGTTAGTGGTTTTAATTAAGCTTAAATTGTAATGATTTAACTTAAAATTATGGTTTTATATACAGTTGTCGTGTTTAACCAATTTTCTGTATCATATATGTAGTTTTCAAATGTTCTTAAAAATGTTCATCATATATAGAACAAAGAGTTGTTGTATAATAAGATATAAAATTATACTCTTCATCTTAAAAGTCGGTTAAAATGCTATATGCTTTTACAGGTGGAACGCAGCAGCCGGCAGTCGTAATATTATAATGCAATTTCGTGAGGCTGTTGATAAGAAAAGGGAGGTAAAATAAACATGAAATAATACAGATTGAAAGCGCTCACTTTATTTATTTTTATTTATTTATTTATTTATTTATTTATGCACCAACAACAAGAAACACAGAAAAAAGAATAAGAAAGAAACAAAGTGATACAAAGGAGAGCTTATCTCTATGAGAGATCTCTTCCAGCCACCCTGGAGTGTGAGTAATATTAAGTTAAATAACAGGAAGGTAGGTACAATTTTAATTTTAGTGACATAGAATAATTATTACTTTTTTACTTTACATAAACATACTTAAATATACATAAAACTATTATAAACTACATATTTATTTACATAAATACAAATAATATATACATACAAATACAAAATAAAATATACATATATATATATATATCTAACTTCTAATGTTGTGATGAATCTAAAAGATAATATTTTTTTAATCTGAGTTTAAATGTATGTACAGAATTACAATTTTTTATAATGTAGCCCGGAAGAGAATTCCAAAGTTGAGCAGCGTAAAATAGAGAGACGAAACCTCTCATCATTCAATGTATTCATATGCGTGTGTCGGGTCCATCGTTGTAGTGAGAGGAGCTTCAACAGTGACTGGGACTTGTGACCCAGGTGTAGGTTTAATATATATAGAGAGACGAAACCTCTCATCATTCAATGTATTCATATGCGTGTGTCGGGTCCATCGTTGTAGTGAGAGGAGCTTCAACAGTGACTGGGACTTGTGACCCAGGTGTAGGTTTAATATATATAGAGAGACGAAACCTCTCATCATTCAATGTATTCATATGCGTGTGTCGGGTCCATCGTTGTAGTGAGAGGAGCTTCAACAGTGACTGGGACTTGTGACCCAGGTGTAGGTTTAATATATATAGAGAGACGAAACCTCTCATCATTCAATGTATTCATATGCGTGTGTCGGGTCCATCGTTGTAGTGAGAGGAGCTTCAACAGTGACTGGGACTTGTGACCCAGGTGTAGGTTTAAGGGACCCCTATCTAACGCGTTTAACGCTCACCTCCACTGTACAAGCTACTCTTTGTAACTAACCTAATTTGAAAAGAACCTACTAGGGCTGCCTTTGAAGTACTTTCCAAGAATGAATTAATGTTAGGTCTGGACAGGCCAAGTCTTTTAGTAGGTTGTAGATAGATTTAGCTGTTATACCTCTCGCTCTCACCTCTACCGCGTACAAATCAACGACGAACCTATTTCGAGTGAGTTCGTTAGTGAGCTCGTAATATTTATTGACCTTGATGGTATGGTCTATAGGGATGTAGGTTTCCCAAGGAAACATAAGCTCTAAAATTTAGTTTTTGTATTAATAAAAATAATTTATAATTACAGGCTAAATTCCATTTATTGCGTGTGACGCCGCAGAGAGCTACTGTACTCAAATGCATTGAGTTGACACCGGAATTCAACATGGACGCCATGACGGGATTTCCGGTCAGTAATTTTAATTCTTATGAACTAATTTTCTAGAATAAAAATATATCTATATTTGTGTATATAATTTAGTAGAATTTCAGATTTGTTTTTCAATGTTCATCGTTACTTCCAGTAATGTTACAAAATGTCTGAAGCTAGTATTTATAGTTTACAAACACAAGTTCAATATTATGCTTAATTATAATCAGTCGTAAAAATAATTCTAAGTCCCAGTTTCACCAATCATTGTTAAATAAGTAACATCGTGTTAATGAGTTTGATGCTCTGTTAGATGTATCGAGCGTCCCACCACGCACAAATGTCCGTTTAAATGTCTTAACAAGCCACTAATATTAATTCCTGCTCTGGAGCTCCGTCTAATGGCTAACAGAATGTTAATACATTGTCAAAACTCAATTGTCAAATTACAGCCCTGATTTCTTGTAACCATAGTAACGTCATCTGTTTTGTCAGTTTCGACTATTTCCTTGTACTTAATAATAAAGTGAATCAAAATTTCATTTCCTATGATGATTTTGCCTCCAGCTTTTCTATGACATTGCAAATTAAGTTTTCTTTTTTACCTCTTATAATTTGAACACAATGTATGCCTATATGTATAACACAATTTATTGACAACACGATTTTGACAAGTTACACCTACCTAGTAAATTTAAAAGAAAGCTTTATGTGTGCCAAATGTATGCAACCAACGATATATAAAATTAGGTCACATTAGCTTACTAGTGACGTATCGAGGAATATATACGACTAGCTGACCCGGCAGACTTCGTACTGCCTCAATCAAGAAATCAATTATGTCTTATTTATTTTTTTTGGTGTTTACCTTTAAGCCATAAATCTCCGTGTTCTGAAGTGCGACAAAATGATTGACATATTAGTTAGTTGTCAAATCTAATGTCAAAAAACCGTTTGTATGGGAAATAAAAAAGCGCTGTTTTTAGGGTTTTCCCGGAAATTAATAAAAATTTTTCAGCTTTTAAACCTTCCCTGAACCTCCACAAACATTTCAAGACTATGATATGATAAATCCGTTCAGCTGTTCTCGAGTTTTAGCGAGACTAAGGAACAGCAATTCATTTTTATATGTATATATAGATGAAACTTGAAAGTATAAAGTGGTACATCGTGGCAAACGTGCCGTATTAAACGCTATAGTTTCCATTTGGTCGTCTTATAACAAGAACGAATAATTTGGTAGTTGGTTATTTATCATGACATTTAATAGTACGTTGTTAATTTGTCAATTTGGAACGTAAATATTTTAACAGAAATTTATAATTTTGAAGGTTTGTTAGTAAATGCTGTGATTAAATTAAACGAACATTGATTGGTGAAACTGGATCTAGGGATTTAAGTATGTTTTGATTAGTGCGGCACAGATGGCGGAACTTGTAACATTTAAAAATAATGTTTTTTATTATTTCCTACATAGACAAATATAATGTAGACAGATAAGATATGTTATTTAGATACGAAATAAATAAGTATTATCTTTATAAGTGTTAAGATAATATTAATTAAATTAATTAATTGAATTTATTTAGAGTATACGTCAATTTTTGTTTTTATTTACTTAATTATAAGCATCACATTAGTACAGAGGTGCCATCTGTTAGTTATTTTTATGAATTTAAGGCCAACTATAAGAAAAGTTGTTTTAATGTATATAAAATTCATTTTTGTCGTACTAATTATAACTACTATAATCCTTAGAATTATTTTTATAATCCCCACTAATATTATAAATGAGAAAGTAACTCTGTCTGTCAGTCTGTCTGTTACCCTTTCATGCCTAAATCACTGAACTGATTTTAATGAAATTTGGTACAGACATAGAGTTGACCTTGAGAAAGAACATAGGATAGTTTTTATCCCAGACTTTTGAAAGGTTTTCTTGGAAACGCGATATAGCCGAACTCCATCCGGGCGAAGCTGCGGGCGGAGAGCTAGTTAATCATAATAAATTGAAATTTTATGATAACATATGAGTATCAGTGTATTTGTAAACTATAAATACTGGCTTCAGACATTTTGACTTCTGGAAGTAACAATGAACATTGAAAAACAAATGTGAAACTGTACCTTTAACACCATATAAGTAGCTTATAAGACCTCAAAAAAGTATTGTTAAATCCAATGTCAAAAGAAGAAGTTAAAATAATAATAGTCACTCACATTGTACACAAAAATTGTAAAAAAACTATCATTATTAATTCAAAATCTAGTAACAGGATGTAGAAGAATAATTAATACTAGCTAACTCGAAATGCAATATACATTTTTTTATCATGTAAATTTTCCCTTTCCTTTTGCCTGAAACAATCAACATTTCTCATACTACAGAAGTCTATGGATGAAAGTGACTATCTTCTATCAAGTAGACCGTCTGTTCTTTTGTTTCTATATCAAAAGTAATAATTTTTTCTTATATATTTCAGTTTTATCCCGATCTTTTCACTCTGAACATGTCATACGGCTCGGTAGACGCTAGAAGAACGACTTTTAATATGAAATTCAGACTTGTCGAGACAGTTTTTGATCTGTTGCAAGAACTTAAACTATGCAGCTACTCGTGATACAAATTAATTGACAATTCATTATTTTTGATCCAAAAAATAAAATAAATTTTATAATTATCATTTTTTTGAGATTTATAATAAATTTTGCTTGTCACTATAATTTTAATTCCAATAGTTTTTTCAAGTAATCTAAATGTTTGTAAAAATGTAATCATTTATATATTTTTTTAATCAATTTTAATTGTTTTCTAAGATTGCTTTTAAATCAAAATTAAGGACTACATTTGTAAAAATAAACTTTGTGCTTGTTTAATTTGAGTTTTATTTCCTTTAAGGGCATAAATGAATGTTTCTATATCCAATACATATGTTTATTTTCCAAGCTATTTATTTATTGTAACAAACTGTTTCAGGATTGACCATGTATATATATAAGTATTTAATCATTAATAACATATTAGTTCGAACGCTATATATCCAACATTAGTCATTACTACACTTTGAGACTTTTAATTTCTTTAAGTCAAGTATTTAGTGATTTAGTTGCGAAGTATAATCTAATACCTTGACTGTCCTCAGAATAAAATTCCACTATATAACATATGAATTTCTTCTTCATATTTTATGAAGAACGTTTTTGAATACTCATGACATATTATAAGTCAGTGGTGGCCTAGTGGTTAAAAGGCTCGCCTCTCATGCAAAAAGGCGCTATTTCAATCCTGGCAAGTACCAATGTGATTGTTCCCAGTCATATGTACTTCATAAGAATATTTAGACATCACTGATTAATGCATACCCAAAGAGGGTTGATGTCAGGCAGGCGGCCGGTCGTAAAAACAATTAGCCAACAACTATTTACAACATGTAAGCCAGACCCTGGCTAAAGTTGGGAAATTGCCAGGTAGAAGAAGAAGATATTTGGTTACCAAAGAGTTTTTAATGTTGAAATTTAAAAAAATCATCAGCAATTTTTCTAATGGTCTAAATTGTAAATATTTTCAGTGTTAAAATAAAACATGTTCGGCCACATATATGTATTTTATTGATGTCTTGAAATAAAGTCATAAAATATCATTTATATATTGAACTAAATATAAGAAAATTTTGAGCAAAACATTTTTGTTTTCACAAAAAAAAAAATAACGGAAGAAAATTGTTCTAATCGACTTTACCTTAATATATTATTTACAACTATTTTTTCTTATATTTATAAAGTACAGAGTAACAAAAACTTTCAAACTATTCATAATTATTTTACTTGAAAGGAAAGTTACTAAATAAAGTTTAAAATATTTTTTTTTACATAAAATATTCAATAAAATAATTAATTGACAAAAAACAATTTTTGTTTCATAATCTCAATTCTCTTTGAATAATAATTTGTAATATTCTTCATTTTAACTTTATAGTTTTTGATCGAATCTATTTTAATTTTTTTATTATTTTACAGAAGTTATTAATTAAAGATTTTTTTAATTTTACAGAAAAATTAACATGATGTAAACAAATAATTATAACAAAAATTTATATTCAATAAATAGATATAATAAGAATTCGATACACTACTCATGATATTCTAAAACAACTGATCAATTGACGCCATTTAGAAAACTGACAAGGCTATGTAATTTTTTTTATTGAAGTGCCAAAAAATTTAATGCACATTATATGTAATTCTTAATATATTCGTTCTTTTATTAAATATATGTATATCTTTTTTCACAAAACTTTTTAATAACAAAATTATTGAGGATACTGTGTAAAGAAGACATTATTTAAAAATTAACCTAAATGTATACTAATGAAATTGTTTAAGTGAAACTTCTAATGCAACTTCAACAAGGTTGCGTTAAACGTTCAACGCTTTTGATCAATTGTGACTTGTAAGTAGCGTTTATAAATTGTCTTAAACAATTGATGACTGCATTGGAAGTTTCATTTCTTATATTATATATTAATTATTACTCCTTATAGGTCTAATTTGTTTTAATTTTGTCAATTGTCCGTCAAATTTGATGTCAACATCGCAATCGCTTAACGGGTGAGAGGTCAATGAACTGTTATCATTTTTATTATCAGTTGGGCTCATTGGAGTTACGAATCCGCTGTCACTTTTCTCAATTTTAGGCGTTAGATTCAGTGACATTGATTTCTTGCTTTGGAATATACTAATATCATCTATATACGATTTCGGTGTTAGTTTTTCGTCTAATTTACGTAGATTTTCGTCGAAGTCGTGTTTTAATTGCCTTTCGAATAGTCTTTCTTGTTGAATCTGTTCGTGAGTGTTAGTTATGTATCCGGAAGATTTTTTGCCCAAATCTCTTATAGTCTCGTTGGCAAGATTTTCGATTCTCAAGCTATCTTTTTGTGTTTTTTCTGTTTTTTCTTCTAATATCTTCAGCGGGTAATGTTTTTGGACCAATAAATGTACTGATTGTGATTTTTTAATGGATTTTCTTTCGTCGTTTTTCATTGCGTCCATAATTTCTTCTCTAGTGGTTTTCGCGAATAGGTCCGGAGCGCTGATTCCTTGTTTATAAGTCTTTTTATCACTTTCGTCATCGTTTGATGTGAATTTTGTGATGATTTTTGAGCTGAACGATAGTTTTTTGCTATAAATATGGGCTATTTTCTTTATTTCAGGCGGTAAATCCTGTTTGTGTGCGGATATGTAGCGACTTAATAATGTGAGATGTTGTTCCATGATTTTGTTTTGGTTTTCTAGGTTCGTTTGCGTCTTCTGATAGTTTTCTATGGCGTTCATTGCGGACTGAAATGTTTGAATATATTTTGATGAGAATTATGAATATATGGATAAGAATATATATAAAAATATGTTCTACAACTAGTTTTATTGATTCAAAGCCGGAAAGACTTTGTATATATGTTGATTTTTGTATTTTTATACTATTTAAACATAATTTTTGTCAGATAACCAAAAACTTTTAAATTTCTATACTGATCTCAATGTATAAAGCGTTATAATCTAACTAGCTTTCCGCCCGCGTGGAGTTCGGTTATATCGCATTTCCAAGAGAACCTTTCAAAAGTCTCAGATAAAAACTATCCTATATTCTTTCTCAAGGTCAACTCCATGTCTATACCAAATTTCTTTAAAATCAGTTCAGTGGTTTAGGTAAAACGTAACAGACAAACAGAGTTACTTTCGCATTTATAATATTAGTAGGGATTATAATATAATTCTTACATCAATTTCTTCCTTCATTCTAGCCGTATTCTTCACTAGTTGTTTATTCTGTTCAGTCAGTAGCGCCAGTCGAGGCATTTCTTCTCTCAAAACACTATATTCAACTTCGTACTCGGTCAATTGACGGCTTATATCCAATTTGGCGACCTAATAAATAAATATTTATTATATAACTAATTTGTTACCGCGGTTATTCATGCAAAGGTCTTATTAATTGGTTTCAGAGATATTTAGAATGTATACGCAGGTATAATAAAATAATTTTTAAAGAACAAGCTGGTAGATTTTTAGTCTGTGCCAAGACTATGCAAATTACAAATTTTATGTCATGTTCCGTAAAAAACTTTATGAATATCTTTTATAAATATATAATAATTTTGTTACTCTGATTTTAAGCTACACAACTGGAAAGTTTTATCAAAATAATTTGAGTAGTTTTTGTGTGGAACAATAACAAATTTTTATAAATATATACATATTCACAAATGTTTGCAATAAGATTATACTTAATACAATTAGAAATCTGTTCATAGTATCTAACTGATGAAAAAAAATATATATATATATATATATATATATATATATATATATATATATATATATATATATATATATATATATATTTTTATTTTAGTTATATATATTTATATGATATTTTAACTAATTTCACCTTAATTAGGACTTGTTACTTTCTATATGTTAAACTTTCTATATCCCAACTCCTATATAACATACATAATACGAATATTATTATAGGAAATACACATAACCCAGAATATTGTACAGAAAATATTGAAAGAAAATAAATCAATGTAAATAATTTCCTTACATATTTACAATAAATTATGTTAGAGGTGGCCTAGTAGTTAAAAGGCCCGCCTCTCATGCATGAGGGCGCGGGTTCGATCCTGGCAAGTGCTAATGTGATTTTTCCGAGTCATATGTACTATATAAGAATATTTAGACATCACTGATTAATGCATTCCCAAAGAGGGTTGATGTCAGGCAGGCGGCAGGTAAAAACCAATAAGCTAAAACTATTTACATGTAAGGCAGGCCCTGGCTTTAGCTGGGAAATTGCCAGGAAGAAGATATATGAGCAATTATTTACTTTAATGATACATATTTACTAACCATTCTCATGACTTTATCGTACACTCCTTTATTCATGTCGGGTAACTTATGCTTCAAATACTCGGCGGCTTCTTCGCAACTATCACACAACAGTAGACCGTCTTTGTGTACTGAGAGTAGACTTAAAGACAGCGAAAAGACCACGTCGAAAGACTCCAAGAATATGAGATCTGAAACACATTATAAAAGAATTTAAAAAAAAAATATGCTTGTGTATCTTTATATATATAATTCTTCTGTGAGTGTGTATGTCACTCAACTTCTCTCAAACGACTGGACCGATTTTGATGAAATTTTTTGTGTGTGTTCAAGGGGATCTGGGAATGGTTTAGATTCACAATTTTATCCGCTGGACAATGTTTTTTAATTTATTAGTAGTTGTTGATACAAACGTTTTTTTGACATTAGATTTGACAACTAACTAACATATCAATCATTCTGTCGCACTTCAAAACACGGAGATTTATGTCTTTAATAGGTAAACTCCAAAAATATAAATAAAAAAACGTAACAGATATTTCTTGATTATATGGCGATACGAAGTTCGCCGGGTCTTCTAGTATATATATTACTTACGTAGAGTGTGTGCATACCGTATATGTGTGTGTGTGTGTGTGTTTACTCACCAAACACCCTCACGACGAATCCTAATGGAAATTGGCTTGTGAATAGAGTAAGCATCCAAGGAGCAGCGTATAAAGCTGGGGAAATATCCAGATCTTCTAAATGTTTGTGTAGTTCTGGCTCACGGTCACGGACTAGGCGAGATAACTGGTACAACTGGAGATATACGGAGATATACAGAGATATACTTATATATTGTATTTTTGTTATTATTCTATTGAAATGTTAAATTGTAATAATGTTATTTTTTGTCAATTTTAGTGATTATTATGTAATATTTTATTGAATTTATTATTATTGTTTTTTAATTTAAATTTTGATTTACTACTAGCCTATAATTATAAGGACATTTAAGGTATTATTAATAGTTTGTTAATATAATGAATGTATTAATGTTTTCTTTTGTTGGCTTTCAAAATAAAATAAAATAAAATATACAGAGATATACGTAGATAGATCATGTAATAAGGTAAAATGATAGCTCTAAATGTTATTTTTTGCCTGTATGTTTGTTCAGGCTAATCTCTGAAATGGCTGGACCGATTTTGACAAGACTTTTATTGATAGATAGCTTATATGATAAGGAGCAACTTAGGCTCCTATTTATCAAGCAGATTCTTAGCAGACCGAGTCGCGGTTAACAGCTAGTATATATATAATATATATACCTGTACTTGTAAAGCGCTCATATCAGGTAAATATTGTTTTCTTATCCCACGTCTGAACATTAAGTGACGAAGGAGAGCAAACGCCTCGGCCTCTTCCATCTGAAAATCAAAGAACAAAACTATTCACAACATGTAAGGCAGACCCTGGCTATAACTGGAAAATTGCCAGGTAGTACTAATATAATATACTTAATTCCCATAATAAGGTCACGATGGTTCAAATGTTAAAGGGACTGCATACAACACTAAGTCATGGGTTCGATATAAATAAGTCTTCAAAACTTTATATATATAATAATACTAATAATATATAATATAAAGAATAAGCACAATAAGGCGGTGTTATTACTAGGTAGCGATTTCTACCAGACAACCTTATGGGCTTAGAAACACAGTCGTGATTTCAGAGAAGGGTGGTGTCATATGTATATTAAATAATAATAATTAATATATATATGTGTGTGTGTGTGTGTACATACATGTAGTAATAGTATCCCAGCTACAAAACTCAATCCCTGGCAGTATCCCACTTGTGGGTCCAACAGCGAGTAGGCCTTCAATATATTATACAAGGATAGTTGACCAGGGCCTAGGGCTGATGAAAAGTAGGAATGATTTGGGAATGTCCTGCCTGAAAAAATAAATAATAATATTATATAACTAGCTTTCCGCCCGCAGCTTCTCCCGCGTGGAGTTCGGCTATATCGCGTTTCCAAGAGAACTTTTCAAATTTCTGGGTTAAAAACTATTAAGTATGTGTTCTTTCTCAAAGTCAACTCTATGTCTGTACCAATCATTAAAATCAGTTCAGTGTTTTAGACGTGAAAGCGTAACAGTAAGATAGACAGACAGAGTAATTTCGCATTTTTAATATTAGTAGGGATATAAGAAAATCTATTTAATGTATCAATGGGTCCTATGTATAGGGCCAATATAGTAATTTAACCATTTTCATTTTCTGCTTTAAACACTTCATAATACTGTATTCTACAACATACATTTAAAAAATGTGTATTTGTTGGTGGAAAGATTTAGTTTTTATTGCAGTAAAAAACATAAGTAATGTATAAGGGCTTATATAATGTATATTATAAAAAGAAAACTATTAGGTTTACAAAAGAGCGTATCAATCTTAAATGTCGTACATGTATGTCATAGTTGGTATACAAAGTATCAAAAGCATCAGTTGTATGTACAATACATTGACATCAAACTTACAACGTCTTTACTGAACAAATGACATTTGCACATTGTCCCTTATACATAGGAGACAAAAATAACAAAAAATCATATACTTTATAGATAGTATATATATTGGCAGACCCTGACTAAAGCTGGGAAAATTGCCAGTTAGTAGAAGATGGTATATATATAAGTACTTTTCATTCACTATATATAAAGAAATTTTAAATGAACCAGTTATATTGCATTAACTTTAAATTCACTATCTCTTATCAATGACACTTGAAATTTTATAAAATTATAACAAAACTATCAGTAATTTGACCGAAACTAATATAATAACAAATTACAGAAGTTATTTCAATTTGATAATTTTGATGTACCTAATTTTTATTATCATACTAGCTGACCCGGCAGACTTCGTGCTGCCTCAATCAAGAAATAAATTATGTCTTATTTATTTTTTTGGTGTTTACCTTTAAGCCATAAATCTCTGTGTTCTGAAGTGCGATAGAATGATTGACATATTAGTTAGTTGTCAAACCTAATGTCAAAAAACCGTTTGTATGGGAAATAAAAAGCGCTGTTTTTAGGATTTTCCCGGAAATTAATAAAAAAATTTCAGCTTTTAAACCTTCCCTGAACCTCGACGAACATTTAAAGACTAAGATAAGATAAATCCGTTCAGTTATTCTCGAGTTTTAGTGAGACCAAGAAACAGCAATTCATTTATAAAATTCATATATAGAAATATATATATATAACTTACCAAGATCTATCAATATAGCGTGTTGATGTTTAGTTAGACCAGATAATAGTGTGTTATACGGGGTGTTGTAAAGTGGAAATTGTTTGACATCGGGTGGAGGTATCCGAAGACATGCTTGCTCAGCGAGTATATACCACACGCCACCTCTTGACATACGAGGAACGCCTGGAAATATATATTATATGTTAACATTAAACATAGTTATAGTATATATATGTAGAAGAGTCATTTTTTCGAATTAAAAGTTTTTATGGGCATTTGATTTAATATGTATTGTTCATGTATATATGTAGTTTTAATTATTTGCGATATTTGTCACTTAATCTTGAATTCTAAGTTAATCTTAATATTTATATTTCTTTAAATATTTCTTAAATAATAGTGATTGGATTATTGTCATCATTATGATATTATACTAGCTTTCCGCCCACAGCTCCGCCCGCGTGGAGTTCGGTTATATCGCGTTTCCAAGAGAACCTTTCAAAACTCGTGAATAAAAACTATCCTATGTTCTTTCTCAAGGTTAACTCTATGTCTGTACCAAATTTCATTCAAATCAGTTCAGTGGTTTATGCGTGAAAGCCAAACAGACAGAGTTACTTTCGCATTTATAATATTAGTAGGGATGTAAGCAACTAATTGTATACGATTTACCTTAGGATTAAAAATACACACATATGTATATATATGTGTATATATATGTTTTACCTTGTCTCACAGCCTGTGTCAACATATGTCTATCAATCTTAGCGACCGGATGAGATCTATCTCTTGATAGTAGATCATCCCACATTAAAGACACACCGGGCTCACAAATATCAAGCTCAGTGTATTCCAACTTTATTCGACGAACAGCCGATGATTCTTCACCCTCTGTTAATTATTGATTTATATTAATTACATCCATATTTATTTAAAGAACATTGATTTTTTATTAGTACTAAAAAGCATTTTATATATATTGTTAGTTATAATTATTTATAATGATTTTAATATTTGTCTACTTCACAATTCTAAGCTTTCATATTTGTTATAATAGTGTAAATTAATGTTAATAATATTTCTATACAGTAATTTAAATGTCCAAATACTTAACAATCGGTTTTATAATTTATAATAAGAGCCTTAGCATGTTTTACACAATGTAAAGTGTTTTATTATTTAATGGAAACTCTTATGAGTGGAACTAGCGCTTAATATAACTAAATGTTACATTAAAATATTATAAATACGCTACAAGTGTTAGACTGGGGATTCGGTTACAAGTTGTGGAGCAGTTAACATTTAACTGGAATTGCTGCCTAAATATTTCTAACAATATATTATTTATATATCCATATATATTTAGACAAAGTTATCCATATGAACACTTATTTACAAGCGGAATTTGCTCAGCATATTTAAAAGTTACATAAAAGTAATGACTAATTTAATCTTATTTTCTATAATAATTATTTTATATATATTTCTTTATACCTTTCAATCTCTGGTTTTCTTTTTCCATTCTCACCAACAATATAGTTTGATCGATGGCCATTTTCCACAATTGTCTTAATTCTTCTTTTGTACGTTTCTTAACCTGTGATGGCCGTTGGTTTGATTGACTGTGATCTAGAATAATACACATATTTATATATATATATATATATATATATATATATATATATATATATATATATATATATATATATATATATTTCAAAGTGGAAAACTTTGAGCAGGAAGGCAGACCCTGGGTAAAGCTGGGAAAATTGCCAGGAAGAAGAAGAAGACATATACATATAATGATCGTTTTAATATTATTATTTTTTGCATCCATCATCATTATCATTTCAAATAACTTTTATGTAATAAAAAAACTTGACTAAATATATTATATTACTAGCTTTCAGCCCGCAGCTTCGCCCGCGTAGAGTTCGGTTATATCGCGTTTCCAAGAGAACCTTTCAAAAGTCTGGGATAAAAACTATCCTTCAGTGGTTTAGTCGTGAAAGCGTAACAGACAGACAGACAGAGTTACTTTCGCATTTATAATATTAGTAGGGATTAATAATTTCTTATTTTACTATGTGCAATCATTAATATACATATCTAGATACCGAGCTTTGCTTGGTTTTTAGGTATTGTTAGTATTTATTTTGTGTTTTTTTTTATTTAGTTTAGGCTTTTTTAAGTGAACACGTTAAAAAGACACAATACAATATAAGGGTGAATATACGCTATTTGGTTTTTTCTTGTCCCAGAACGAAATGTTATCGGTTCCATTCAATACTTATAATTTATTTTAAGTTAAGAAAGTTGACTAATATTAAATAAAACGTCTATTAAACAAAAAAATATTATTATTTTATATTAATAAATATTTTCACTCTTAATTTTATTAAAATATGTTTCGATTTTTTTTAAAGCGTGGTCATACGCATTAAATAAAAACCTAATCGTATACTTTTTGAAAGTATACAGCCATAAGTTCATTTTAATTCATAAATACTAGAGGAGTATACATTTGTAACTTTTTTGAATTAAATAATTATCGTGAATAGTCTTTGTGGGCCAGATAAAATACCATATTCTTTATTGTTTATGCATAAAGAGACAATGTTAAATAAGCTTTACATAAAATTTATCTATGGAGCAATGGAATTCAAATAGCGTATATTCACCCATAAATCAACAATTAAATCCTTAGTCTAACTCAAAACAAACACTCATTGATTTATTACTTAACAACGCCATCTGCTGTTGTGTCGTTAAAGCAATTAGCAAAAAGTGGTATTACTATTCGCCAATAGATGTCAGTAAGAGTCATATTTTAAATGACTCCGTTTATTTTTTTTAATAAAATAATATTTTCTAAAAATGATCCCTAGCTAGATCGATTCATCACTCCCGATACATGCTAAATTTCATGAAAATCGTTGCAACCGATTCCGAGATTTTAATTATATGTTTATATATTTACAAGAATTGCTCATTTAAATATATAAGATATATATAATCTAAATATATGAATCATAATCTATATAACCTTCTGTTTCAATGTTAGGTTGTAAAACTTTTTCATAAATCGCCTGCCGCCATGTCGAATCGTTTCCGTTATTTCCGGTAGCCGTTGAACGATTGTCGCTCACTTTCAGGAATCTGTAATTAAATATACAATAATATTGAGAAAAAAGAATTAAGGAATTAAATAATTGGTATAAAAATTTGCTATAATTTTATAGAAACATAATTTACTTATAATGATACTTATAAATTTTATATTTGTTATCAAGAATGGTTATATTATATGTATGAAAATACTATAAAAATAGTATAATATTATTTATCATCATCAGCCTATCAGAGCCCACTGCTGAGCCTCTTCTCACATGGAGAAGGTTTGAGCATTAATCATCACGCTTGCTTAATACAGGTTAGTGATTTCAAACTTATAATTTGCTATAAGTCCATGTTTCCTCACGATGTTTTCCTTCATCAGTCAGTGATGTCTAAATACTCTTAAAGTACATATGACTCGGAACAATCCCATTGGTACTTGCCAGGCTCGAACCCGCGCCCTCATGCATGAGAGGTGGGCCTTTTAACCACTATCCCACCACTGACTTATAATATTATTGTATATAATTAATATTATATATAATTAATCAAGTTATACTCACATATCCATCATAGGACTATTAACTGCTTGTGAATCATCTCTATTGTCATTTTCTTCTTGTGTTAGAATTTCTTTCGGTACAGGAGGTTCTAAGATAAAACATATTAAATTTATGTTACACAGTATAAATATATATATTTAAAAACCACTTATATGAACTAGAGTGGATTAAGTAAGGTAAAAATTAATATAATACTAGTATTAAACTTAACATTGGAAGAAAATTGTTGTTTTAAACACACATATCGATATGGGTCCAATGTAGCAATTTAGCCAATTTCATTTTTTTTCCTTTAAAAACTTCATAATATTGTATTCTACAACATCCATTTAAAAATGTGTATTTGTTGGTGAAAAGACTTAATTTTATTGCAGTGAATAAGCATAAGTAATGTATAAAGTCTAAATAAGAACATATTTAGTGTTTAATTTATTAATCATTGTGAAAAATATACCATAAAAGTCGTTAATATATAAAATATTTCATTTTAAACTTTCTTCTAATAATCTAATTCCAATGTATATATGTGGAATTATACAATGCTAGTTAATAGGATTTGTACTATCACCGACTATATATATATATATATATATATATTGGTTTTGAATGAAAATATATGTAATACAAATAAAATTTAGAAGAATATACCATGTCCAGGAGATATTGATTTCCTCTGGTTGTCTGTAGATTCAAGATGATCTGTTTCTATACTGGCTGGGGCAGGACTTAAAGAAATATCCTGGAAAATATGAATAAATTGTATTTTCATAAAGAGGACCACAAAAAATTAAGCATTTTGTTAAACAGTCAATATCCTTTGGAAGCCAAAACTACATCGAATTCTTTTTAATTTCATTATATTCTAAATCACAATTATTTGAGTCTCATTTTGCTCTAACTTGGGGTCATTCCTGAAGATGTCTTTAGTTTATTGTAGCTATTTACCAGTAGTATCCTTATGTGATTAAAATCAGTTGAGAATTTAGAAGCAATACGACAAAATCGATTGATTAAAGAAAAAAAAACGAGTTATCATTCGATATATATATATATATATATATATATATATATATATATATATATATATATATAATAGTTAAAACCTGAAAAGACCATATAATTTAATAAAAATTGCGTCATCATTAAATTATGTATCTTAATTTTGAACAATAATTATGACTAATTTAAATGTTTCATTGCAAGTTTTTCTTGCTATTCCATTGTATTTAAAAATTGGGCTTTGAAGTCGTATTAATGAATTTTTTTTTACCATCAAATCGAAGACTTCAAAATGATACTTAAATCCTACTAATATTATAATTTGAAACTTTGTGAGTGTGTGTGTATGTTTGTTACTTCTTCACGCTCAAACGGCTGAACCGATTTTGATAAAATTTTGTATACAGGGAGCTGACGTCCAGGAATAATACATAGGCTACTTTACAACCCGGAAAATGTTCGACTTTTCCTCATATAAGCGAAAAACCATATTTGCTTACGTAACTCCGCGGGGCGCAACTAGTATATATATATATATATATATATAAATTAATAATTTATCGTCTTTTAAGTCGGTTAATTATGTTACCTTTCTAGGGACTTGTAATAGATTCCCATCATCCTTGCTCTGCCTCCTCTTAAGCAAATGATCAAATCCACTCGACAATGATCGCTTAGCTTTCATAAATATAGTACTACCTCCCAGATATTGATTTAGGAACTCCGATCTGAAATGTTTAAATAGAAATATATTTCGGAATTATTTGTAACTAGTTTTTGATTGCGACTTCGTCCGCGTTAATTTCAGTATTAATAATAAATAGGTGACCTAACTTCATTCTAACTTACATACCGTAAATTTACAGATATTTGATTTTGTCAGGTTTTTTTTTTGATCGAAATGAACTAAATATCTTATGTCCGTCTCAAAGTTTTAATCTATATCTACACGAATTTTCATCCATATCCGTACAGCCGTTCTTGAGTTATAAATAGTGTAACTAACACTTCTTTCTTATATATATATATGTATATATAGATTTTTTATTTTAACTACTTACCCGAAGTTTCAGTTACTTTGTAACCGTGATCATAACGATGAGATTACATCTGGTAGTAATCCTAAAATCCCTACTAATATTATAAATGCGAAAGTAACTCTGTCTGTCTGTCTGTTACGTTTTCACGCCTAAACCACTGAACTGATTTTAATGAAATTTGATACAGAAATAGAGTTGGCCTTGAGAAAGAACATAGGATAGTTTTTATCCTACACTTTTGAAAGGTTCTCTTTGAAACGCGATATAACCGAACTCCACGCGGGCGAAGCTACTGGCGGAAAGCTAGTACATATTACTATAATTTATATATTTTTCTGGTATATATATATGTTTTTTTATATAAACCCACCTGTTTTCAGCTGTGTCATGTACATGTCGTTTTTGTTTTGATTCACAGTGGGCTCTCAGTAACATCATTAGAAAAGCATTATGTTCTATCACCTACAAATAAATATACATACTATAAGAATATTATTTTTAACATATCTTTAGTATTTTTTTACTTACACATAAAAGCGTAGCAAAGTTTTTGAATTTAATAATACATTGAAATGAAAATATCTCAGATATAAAGATATCTACAGTCGTATATAGGCAGTGATAGTGCATCTTTGTAACTACATAGCATTGGCTAATTCCAAGTATCTACATTGGAAGAAGATTATCAGAAGAAAGTTTAAGCTGAAATATTTTATATATTAACAACTTTTAATTTTTTTCACAATTAGTAATTATTTAGTGTTTAATTGTGAAAAAATTCCTTAAAAGTTGTTAGTATATAAAATATTTCATCTCAAACTTTCTTCTGATACGCTTCCAAAGTAGATATGAGGAATTATACAATGCTAGTTAATAGGATTTGCACTATCACTGAGTATTTGTTTTATATTAATTACCTTTGTTACCATGTAAGTAGTATAATTTAAATGTCTGTAATGATGTATCACACTGAACAAGTTTTTTTTTAATATATTATTTCCACATATGGTTTGTGAATATATCGATGATATTTCCAAAATAAATAAAAAAAAAATATCATCATTATTTACCTCATACATATGATTAGTTCCTCCTTGATACTTGGTGATGATAATATCTTGTTCTTCATCAGGCAGCTGTTCTATACGACGTAGTATAAACGCGTGAGTTTTTTTTTCGTTCATACCTGAAATATCAATTATATAGATTAGAAAGAATTTAGTGTATAAAAGGACCTCTTATATGTGTATATGTATATATATATATATATATATATATATACTAGCTGCCCCGGCAAACATTCTTTTGATATATAAATAATAGGGTTGTTGACAAAAAAGTACAGGATTGTATGCATTTGATGTATTTTTTAATGTCACATTATAAAAAGGAAAAAAATAGGGGTAAAAAACCCTTATTAATAAGGGGTATAAAAAATAGACGTTGAGCATTCTCATATTGAGTACAATATGCTCACAAAATTTCGTGATAATCGGTCAAGTTTTGGAGGAGTACGGGAACGAATATTGTGACACGAAAAAAATATATATTTTTAGAATGCATACTTTTGTTTATATTATTTTTTACAAAATTTTAAGTATCTAAATGAAATTCCTCTCGTTTGTAATATTTTGTTAATATTATGGCTAGATTTTGTTAGTAAATGTCATCCTACCTTCAATATCGTGGCATAATCTATGATACCACAACATTGGGCAATGTTCGCAGGTCATGTTGGGAGATTTATCTCGTGTTTTCTTTAACAACTCCGCATGAGCTACGAATGCTTGTTTTATCGCTGTAAAAACAAAATACACATTATTAATATATGGATTTATCCCTTAATAATATAAATGCGAAAATAACTGTCTGTCTGTTACGCTTTCTTAACCATTGAACTGATTTTAATGAAATTTAGTTCAGACATAGAGTTGACCTTGTGAAAGAACATAGGATAGTTTTTATCTCAGACTTTTGAAAGGTTCTTGTAAAACGCGATATAACCGAACTCCAGGCGAGCGAAGCTGCGGGGGGAAAGCTAGTTAACTATTAAAATGTAGGAAAATTTAAAGGAACTTACCACTAACTACTTCGTTGGCGACGGAATCACTCTCGCATTTGAAGACATAACAGGCGTAAGTATCATTAGTCTCCCTACAAACGAATCCGAAATGCTCTTTATTACTTCTACCGAGCACACAGCTAGCGACATCTTTGAACGCTCGATGTAAAAGTATTTGTTTTCTATCTGGACTTATTAAACGTAATTCTGATCTGCCAACCTGGAAAAATTTGAATTTAAATTATACTTATTATGTATATATAAGTACCAAAAACATAAAATAAATGAAGAAATTATCAATATACAGGGTGACTGGTGAATTACTATCGATACTTGAGGACGTGATATTTGACGATCATATATGACAAAATATAAATTAATATAACATAAATATTAATAAACTTCTAAGTAATGTTAACCAAAAGTTATGTAATTAATTACGCATTGTGTGAACACCCTACAGATTAGGTATACACACACACTCACACATACGCGCGCGGCGGAGTGGTGTTGTATCAGCACGCCGCCGCACGCGTCCACACTTGGAACACTTGGAACGTGTCAACACTTTATTTATTTATACGGAAATTTTGTCAAAAATTAAGTGCCTATTTTTTTACATAATTCGAATGAGAATCATGTACCGAGTATTCTCCTTAAATATCGATAGTAATTCACCAGTCACTCTGTATATATGCAATTTTCTCTAGCAAATAAACAAAGCTTTGTAAGTCATAATAATCAAATAATATTATATACCTGAAATAGCATAGTCCTGTTCTGTTCGCCAATCAAATGAGCGATAGGTGTTTTTAAACTCAAAGCACCAATGGATGCAGATCTATCTCTTAAAAATGGCTTATTTTCAGGTAATTGCTTTTTCTCTTTATTCGGTTTCCTAGGTATTTCGCCAAAACTAAGTTTCGATTCCCTGTTATTTTCGTCTATTTTGTTAGTACCTAATGGTTTATTTAACAATGGATCGATTAATTTATTTACGTGATCATTGTTTTTGGATGAATCAGTATTTTGTACTTTCTTGGTAGTGTCATTTCCATCTAAATTTTCCTGTTTTTCTTCGTCCTCAGTAAGTGTACCTAAATTATTTTTTGTCACATTTATTACAACCACAGCCGGTTCTAATTGTGCTATCTTTTTGACAATTTCAACTCTTTCTTTGGTGAATTCATCAAATTCTTCATCAATTTCGTTGCTTTCTTGTTTTGGTAGATTCTCAGCACTTTTCCAAGCGACATTTTTGTCTGGTTCTAACGGTGTCGTACTTGGCATGATGTAATTGTTTCTTCTAAATTCCTCTATAGCTTTTTCTGGGGAAGTTTTTGATGAATCATTACTATCCTGGGATACCTGTAATTTATTAATGTTGCTATAGATTTACCAATAACATAAGTTATAATTAAAGAATATTTGAAAATTTTACCCCGCTTGAAGACAATAAACTGTGCCGTCTACTAGCTCTTGCCTTCTCAGCCTCATGCTGTGCGAATTTGTTTAACGCGTCATCTATCAAAGATTCAGGTACTTTTCTTTGCGATATTCTCACTTTTCCGATGTATAAAACCTGAATAAAATATTTTCATGTATTATATTTTATATACATTTGATTTTTTGCACCAAAAAATGTCGTTACCTCAAAAAAATGTGAATCAGAAGGTGATAAATCAGCGCATAGTGACGTTAATGCTGACGCGTTGCTCAAACTTCTAACAAGTCCTGATTCATTTGTCCTAAAAGATAAGGATAATTGTTAGCTAATAAACTAAATTTTGTCCGCGACTTTGTCCCCGTAGGTTTCATAATTAGAAATGAATAGCTTACAAGGCGAACTGTTTCGATTTAGAGGCAGTAAAGATACAGGTTATGATTTTTAAAAGCAATTTTTTTGTCGAACGAATTCAAAAGTATCCTATATCCGTTCCAAATTCTAATTTAACTTCTCACAAACTTCCATCCAAATCCGTACAGCCGTTCTTGAATTATAAATAGAGAAACTAACACGACTTTCTTATATACAATATATATTTAGAATATTTCCAAAACCCAGCTGTCTTATCATATATCTATTATAATTAAAATATATAATATCTTTCCTTTTTGTTGTTATATACATTTTTTCAACATTATGTAATCCATGTTGAGTTAGCCTGTAAGTGATGATACGCAACTGTAAAATTAAGTGCCATGACGTTATAATTTAGTTATAAGTTTTTGTGTATCATATTGGCTTCCTATTAAATAAAATAAATAAATATATTAATTGGTTCATTTATATAATTGACTTACAAATTAGTATTGCAGTTTCCAGGTAAAGATATAGCGGGATTGCTCCAAGGAAGATGTTCGGATCCATTCTGTAGCTGAAATCCTACGTTTTTGGTGACATTTAGGGACCCAGTGGACCCTTTGGGAGTTTGGGCCCCCGGCGAAGGGTCCCGCATCTGACTGAATAAATCTGTCACCTAGAAACAAAGGTCCCTTAAACTGACTATATAAGAGACGAAACTTCTCAGCATTCCATGTATTCACCGTGCGGGTGCCGGGTCCATCGCGTTGCAGGGAGAGGAGCTTCAACAGTGACTGGGACTTTCAACCCAGTTGTAGGTTTAAGGGGCCCCTTAACTAACGCGCGTTATACGCTCACCTAAACTGTCCAAGCTCCTCTCCCTACCTAACCTAATAATAATCTTTATTACCAGTAAAAATTACAGATATCCAGAAAAGAAATATACATAGTAAATTACATCATACATGTATACAAAAACAAGAATATCTGTCCTACAGAGATGATTTATATATTTATATTATATATCTCTTTTTTAAGGTAAAGGGGGAAACATAGCAGACGGCCTACTTGATGGAGGTAGTACCGTCGCCCATAGACATACGAAACATAAGAGATGTTGCTGATGTGTTACTACCCTTGTTTAGGGATGTAGGGGAGGAAAAAGTGGGAAAGGGAAGAAAAAAGGAAGGGTTGGTAAGGTTGGGAAAAGGAAAAGGGCAACCGACTCCCACTCATCGGACGAAACACAGCCATTAAAGACTACTTCACGCCGATCTTCTGTGAGAGGGTGGTACTTCCCCGGTCAAGCCAGCACATGTTCGAGCTGTAGTAACTTAACCACAGCCAGGCTCTATCACCTTCAAGAAGTCCCTTCGTAACTTCGTATAAAATTCAGATAAAACTTAAGAAAATTTTCAATATTTGATTAACTTAAAAATAATGAATAATTCATTATATTTAAATATAGACCTTACAAAGGAAATAAGATTAACTATGACGTACGTAATCAACTTGTGAATAATGAAACGAAGTTGAACCGAGCCATTTATATTTAAAATAACACCATTAAAGCACTAAATCTTTCATATTTATTTGTTCTTAAAATTATAAGTTATCTACTACAACCGTGTCTTTAAGTTTTAATATACACTTCTTCTACCTGGCAATTTCCCAGCTTCAGCCAGGGTCTGCCTTACATGTTGTGAATAGTATTGGCTAATTGTTTTTACGACCGGCCGCCTGGCTGACATGAACCCTCTTTGGTAAGCCTACTAAAATTATAATTGCGAAAGTTTGTTAACACCGATTTGATAGAATTTTGTATACAGGAAGCTGACGTCCAGGAATAACGCATAGACTACTTTACGTCCCGGAAATCCACGGGTAACATCGCGGGGCGCGGCTAGTAAGTTTTAATATACAGTCTTAGCAATGACGCCAAGTATTTCATTGAATACCTCTCATTGAAATGTGTTTTCAAACGGATATTATAATGAGTAAAACGTTACTTATTTAGCATATTCTGTTATAACCAATAATATATATATATATATATATATATATATATATATATATATATATATATATATATATATATTTCAGTATACAATATCAAACGTCTTTCAAATTAATACCGGTAATTTCATTTCAATAACACAAAATTAAAATAAATCAGACATAATTATTATACTATCAATCATAATATATCTATATAAAAACAATTTAATATGTCACAAACATTATACAGGCAATTTAGCATATATTATTTAACGTTGACTTACAAAAAGTTCAAGGTTTTTTTATTAATTGATTAGCGACATCTAGCGATGACGTCAGCGAGGTCCTTGTTCGTTAATCAGCGCCATCTATTGGTAGGTTAACAGTTTAAATAGTTTTAATTGAAACATTTACGTTGGACTGAATATGTAAACAAAATATACATAATAGGAAACAATGTATAGTAAACCACTAAGATGTTTTGTTGAAGGAATTTTCCTGTTTCGCTTTTATCCAACGACAATGGTTTTTTACTTATTGTCGGAGACAACTAATACATACTGCTGATTGAAAATATAGATGCATATAAAGTATGTTTATATACATTTATGTACAAATTACTATGTTAGTTAAATATCGTTAGGGTTAAAGATTATTTTATTAGAACACTAGCTTTCCGCCCGCAGCTTCGCCCGCGTGAAGTTCAGTTATATCGCGTTTCCAAGAGAACCTTTCAAAAATCTGGGATAAAAACTATCCTATGTTCTTTCTCAAGGTCAACTCTATCTCTGTACCAAATTTCATTAAAATCAGTTCAGTGGTTTAGGCGTGAAAGCGTAACAGATAGACAGACAGACTTGCGCTCGCATTTATAATATTAGTAGGGATAACATAGTTTAGAAAACTTCAAGCATTAGGGTAGGTCCACAATATTTAATTTTTCTAAACAGGTCATTTTAAAACATGCGAAACCAAACGGTCTTTGTAATGCAAGTTTATTTCTGTATACATTCCAAAAATACTCTTGTATTTTGATGCCAATTTGTGACGATTGTATTGAGTTTTGGGAAACATCGTAAATGTTATCCAAACTTGATTTCGACAATATTTTAAGATGTATAATAAAGGTAGGTTATTATTTTGTATTCCTTCTGATATTAATTAACAATATTTTTCCTATTTTAATATACATTTTTAAATTTTAACCGATGTGAATGATATCACAATATTCAAGTCAAAAATATTGTGTTATATCGAGGACAATATTTTTTTTACTTTCTGATTTATACAACTGTGTATATTGTATACTAGCTTTCCGCCCGCAGCTTCGCCGCGTGGAGTTCGGTTATATCGCGTTTCCAAGAGAACCTTTCAAAAGTCTGGGATAAAAACTATCCTATGTTCTTTCTCAAGGTCAACTCTATCTCTGTACCGAATTTCATTAAAATCAGTTCAGTGGTTTAGGCGTGAAAGCGTAGCAGACAGACAGACAGACAGACAGACAGAGTTACTTTCGCATTTATAATATTAGTAGGGATATGAAAAATCATATATATTATTGTAAGCCACTTTAGCCTCATAGCTCACGAAGATACAGATATTTGTTTTTTATTTCTCAAATAATTTTATGCTTAAATGACGTATTAATAAAATTTAAATTGGCTAAGCCAAATTGAAGAGCAGTCTCATATAATATGTGAGAAGTTTAGTCTTGTTAAAGATTGTATAAGAAATTTCTTTGGAAAAATTTTGTTTCTTGAGTGAAATTTTGGCTGTTAATAAATATTTTCCTAGCTTCCTTAATTCATTCCATTCCTATTTTTATAATTCCATTAATCTAATCCAATGAAAGAATTCCATCTAGTAAGTTACGAATAATAAAAAACTGTCTAGTAAATAATAATAATGGAAATATTAATGGAAACGTTAATTATTTTGCATAAGCGAAATAACATCACTTAACCCGTGACCTTTGTGAAAACAATAGAATCTTTTTTGTTTATTTTCCCATACAAAAGAATAGTTTATGTTTTATGATTTGTATTAAATTTTATTATTTAAACGAAAAAATATTTATGGGTTATATTTTTACCATTAATGTTTTTTACGTTATAGCAAATTTTTTAATTCTTATTTTTTATTGAAGTTAGTTATTATCGAATTTCGATTCTCTGGATAGTAATTTAGTTCTTTACACCATGCATATATACACACACACTTACATATATATATGTATATGTACAAAAAAGGAACATTACTACGTATCCATGCAGTCCCTTGGTTTAATTCAAACTTTTAGTAATATTATTTGTACAATAAAAATAGTATTTACAGTAAAATTATTTATTTCAACTTTAAATGTCATTTTTGCACGTATTTTTGAATGAAAGTTACGTTATTTTTGTATTTAAAATATCAAACATATTGATTAATATTTAATTCAAAACTATTAATACTTATTGTTGGTATATTAGTTTATTATTTCCAAACACACTTGTCTTACCAAATGTTTCATATTAATAGCGGATGTGTCCGAATGGGAACCGAACATAGGACGATTTGGATGCATCCTGGTGTCTGGAAAACAATCTGGTATAATTCCAATCCTATTTCATGCCTTTATTGTGTTTTTGGAATTTAGATTCCAGTTCTATTTTTAAAGACGAGTTTAATGAATCCGATTTAAGTCGTTTTATTATGTAAATGTTGCACATTTTAGTTTTGCTGATACCTAGATTTTTTTTTATTTATAAATCTTAAATAACATACGAAATGAAGAAGTATTATATTATCGGAATATGTAACAACTTTGTTTTCCAAGAGTTTAATGAAGTTATAAAGAAATATATATATATATATATATTTGTTACTAGCCTTCCGCCCGCGTGGAGTTCGGTTATATCGCGTTTCCAAGAGAACCTTTCAAAAGTCTGGGATAAAAACTATCCTATGTTCTTTCTCAAGGTCAACTCTATGTCTGTACCAAATTTCATTAAAGTCAGTTCAGTGGTTTAGGCGTGAAAGCGTGACAGACAGACGGACAGAGTTACTTTTGCATTTATAATATTAAAGAAACAGTTGTTTTTATTACATGAATACGGATAAATGAAATATTTTTTAAACAGTTTTATATAAGTAATTTTTCTTTGCAAATCTAAATTATTCATTGCATTGTGATAAAATGTTAAGAATAAAATATTTGAAAATAAAACAGTTTTAGGAGAGTTTCATATTGGTGTATCTCGACTGATGATTTAGAGACTCGACTCAACATAAAAAGTGACAAAATATCCCTACTAATATTATAAATGCGAAATTAACTCTGTTTGTCTGTCTGTTACGCTTTCACGCCTAAACCACTGAACTGATTATATGAAATTTGGTACAGATATATACTTGACCTTGAGAAAGAACATAGGATAGTTTTTATCCCAGACTTTTGAAAGGTTCTCTTGGAAACGCGATATAACCGAACTCCACGCGGGCGAAGCTGCGGGCGGAAAGCTAGTTGTATATATTTGTCCTGTCACCAATTTATGGTTGTAGCAAGGTCGAAGGGAAAAGATAAATTGGCATAATAAAAACTAGTGTGACGAAAAGATAACTAACTGGTCTCCCATAAAAGTGGTGTCAAGAGAAGCAACTAACTGAAGAAAATGGAAAATGTTATATTGAAGAAAACATGAAGAACAATTGGGGAACACAATCTTCAGTAATTATGAAAAAGACAAAGAAGTACTGTTAACATAAACTATGTGTCAATGTAATATTAAAAAATAAATGAACATCGCCGGGGTAATATCGTTGTATGTATAAAATATATAACGAGTGAGGCCGCTGACTCCGCGGAACGAACACCAAGCGTGTGAACCAGAAGATTCCTGATACACACAAGCTATGGAATGGTATTGCTATTATAACATCCGGTCAATCATGTAGTCTTAGGTGTAGGTTATAAGTTTTAATATGTAATTCTTATTATAATATATAAGTAAGTTTCGTAGTTTTCCTTGAACCTCTAGTTGCCACCTTACGTTATTGATACGAAAGATATTTTGTCGCCAGGATATGGAGGCATCAAGCTATTTTTTATTAACATTTTGTTCAATAACTATATACTTTCCCGTAACTAAAACCACAAGTTAGATACAATGAGATAATATTACGTATATAATAAAGGAAAGGAGATTCCCAAAGAGGGTTGATGTCAGGCAGGTGGCCGGTCGTAAACACAATTAGCCAAAACTATTCACAACATGTAACCCAGACCCTGGCTACAGCTGGGAAATTGCCAGGTAGAAGAAGACATAACAAAGGCGAACAAAACTATAATCGAATATCTTTGAGACTTGATACTTATATATGTAGTTTACAAAGAATTTACGTGTAGGATGAGTAAGTAACAAAAATAATGTTATCTTAAATAGAGTAATAATTGTAGAACTAATTTTGGTGATGGGTGATGAAGTAAAAATTCCAGAAATCTGGAAAAAAGTCTCCATTCTTCTATTAAAAGATAATTTAATACCAAATTATTGTTAAGTCTGAAGGACTTTTTCACTATCTAGACCTTTTTTTCACTTATTTAGGTCCTATTTAAGCAAAATTCACTGTATTTTCTCGTGAACATATGTAATTGCACGAGTCCAAATCGTGTTTGCGAGGTCGATTGGCAAACCGCCGAACTATTTTTTGGATGAAATATCAAGTGATGAAACTATTTGAATGATCATTTAAAGTTCTGTCATGTTCTAAGAAGATTTGCTCGATCTCATGTTGGTAAAAATTTCAAATAAGCTTTACTTTTCTTTGAATTACTAAATACCATAAATGTATGTAGATTTTTGTGGTCAAATTTATCTTATTTTTAATCTTGTACTTTTTTAGTTTATATTTCTGTGTGCTTAACTAAAATTTTAGTGTCATATTACGTACGGAGTTAACAGTATTCTAAATAAATCTTGTAAGGAATAATATTATTGAATGAGAAACGTTTCATTTATAGTGAAGGAATTAACTTACTAAGCCAAATGTATGAATGTGAATACTCAAGAGAGTTGGATAGATATTTAGAAGCTAGCAAGCTTTCCGCCCGCAGCTTCGCCCGCTTGGAGTTCGGTTATATCACGTTTCCAAGAGAACCTTTCAAATAAAAATTGGTTTTGAAAAATGTTATACAAGAGCTCCCCTACGTCGTCATCAGCCTATCAGAGCCCACTGCTGAGCAAAGGCCTCTTCCTCACATGGAGAAGAATTGAGCATTAATCACCACGCTTGCTCAAGACGGGTTGGTGATTTCAAATTTATAATTGTGAAACTATAAGTCCAGGTTTCCTCACGATGTTTTCCTTCAACGTATGTCACCTCCCCTACATTTATATGTATATATATTTCTATTTTATTTTCACGGGTGTGGTCTGTCCTCATTTCCACCCTATTTTCTTGATGACTAATAAAATTCACCCCTCAAAATACTCATTCTCCTGTTTGAAATACCACAGGGGTTGGCGTGGAAATTTCACTAAATTATTACGTTTCTGAAATATATGTATATCATATATTATATATTTTTAAGTCTTAATCTAAATATTAAGTATCAATAAAATATTTTCTTGTTTTTGTTTGATGAAGAAATAAAGTAATAAATATGTTTTAATAATCCCTAATAATATTATAAATGCGAAAGTAACCGTCTGTCTGTCTGTTACGCTTTCACGCTTAAACCACTGAACTGATTTTAATGAAATTTGGTACAGATATAGAGTTGAGTTTGAGAAAGAACATAGGATAGTTTTTATCCCAGACTTTTGAAAAGTTCTCTTGGAACGCGATATAACCGAACTCCACGCGGGCAAAGCTGCGGGCGGAAAGCTAGTATATATATACATATATAGCTACCGTAGCTTAACTGGTTGTTTGTTACAATATATATCAAAAACTCTATAACCTAATTAAACTCAAATTATTCACTAACTTAGTATATAAATGTTTTTTTTATAAGTCAAAACAAATAATTCACTTCCTCGTGTATTTGTTTTTAGATCGTGCCCTTAAAAGCAAGGCCTTCTAATAACACGTTATACTTGAACTTAGTACTGTTTGATAGAAAATTAAGAAAAATATCTTATCTAATACGAAAAAAATTATACTACATGCATATGTATATACAAAATATCATTTTTTTAGCATGATTGTATGTCTGTTGTATCACTGACATACGGTGAAGGAAAACATCGTGAGGAAACCTGGACTTATAGTTTTATAATTATAAGTTTGAAATCACCAACCCGTCTTAAGCAAGCGTGGTGATTAATGCTCAAACCTTCTCCATGTGAGAAAGAGGCCTTGCTCAGCAGTGGGCTTCTGATAGGCTGATGGCGTATGTCTGTTTGTTACGGCTAATCTCTGCAACGGCTGGACCGATTTTGACGGCATTTTTACTAGCGGGTAGATGATGTAATAAGGAGAAACTTATTATATTTTCTACTGATAACGAAGTTAAACCTTACCACGCTTGACTGTTAAAAGATTTCTTCTTATGTTTTGTTTTTTTGTATTTTTACGCAGACGGAGCCGCGGGTGACAGTTAGTCTAATGTAAAGATGAAATTGCTGTCCCGATTTTGATGGGATTCTTTATATGAGTTAAGTAAATCAGATGGTTAGGATAATTTTCAGATATTTTAGTCAGAATTTAAATCTTCTATGAAATGTAAGGAATTATATAATACATGTATGTATGTATATCTTTTTATATGACAATAAAATTTTACCATACAAAAATTATCTCACAAAGAAAAACTAATTTAATTAATTAATTATTTAGTTTTTAATTTATTACTAATTGTGGAAAAATATCCTTAAAAGAAGAGATTTCAGCTCAAACTTTCTTCTGATAATCTACTTCCAATGTAGATACTTGGAATTATCCAATGCTAGTTACGAGGATTTGCACAATAACTGACTATATATATGTATGTATATTGTTATACACTCCTATATCTGTCTTTCTTAGTATTAAACAGATAAATACTCTTTTTTAATTAATTTCATATTTAAAATAATTTTAGTTTAATTTGAAACATAAATAAAATTTATCCATTAGTTTGTATTGAAGCTAATGGAACTCAATGTTACTTTTTTGTGTATATTTTTTCGATATTTTTTTTTGTTAAAACACGATTTGTGCTGACCGTATATTTTTTTATAACAACTTTTATATGGAACCACTCGTGAATAACAATCCCTACTAATATTATAAATGCTAAAGTAACTCTGTCTGTCTGTCTGTTACGCTTTCACGCATAAACCACTGAACTGATTTTAATGAAATTTGGTACAGACATAGAGTTGACCTGGAGAAAGAACATAGGATAGTTTTTATCCCAGACTTGTAAGGTTCTCTTGGTAACGCGATATAACCGAACTCCACGCGGGCGAAGCTGCGGGCGGAAAGCTAGTATACAATAATTCAAAAAACTATATTATATAACAAAATTAGTATTACATAGTAAAATACATAGACATAGTTAAAAAAAAATATGCTTCCCAAAGAATATGAAGACCATGA